CATGCGAGTGGGCAACCATGGTACATAGTTACCCTCTTGCCCTCTCTCCCTCCCTCCCTTTCTTCTTTTCTTTCCTGCTCAAGGTATGCTTATTACTTCATTTATATACATAGCACCTTTTCTTACACCCCACCCCAAAGGGCCGTTCCCAAATTTCTGGTGGATCAAATTCAGGCAAGCCTTGGAGTAGGAGATGTGGGTCTTGCCTGCATCTCTCTCTCATGGTGGCTGTGGGTGGATTTGGTCCCCGAATGAACCTGGCAAGACCTGTGGGCAGAGCGTTCTTGATCCAAAGCCCAGCAACTTCCCTTCCTCCAGAGGTTGTGCCTCAGCTGCTGTGTAGGGTGCAGCCCGTGCTGGGGCAGCAAACCCACCCTGTCTCCGTCCTCCCCTCACTGTGACCTACTCCCCTCACGATGGGAAACTCTGAAACAAGGAATCAGACTCGCCTTCTAGGAATGACGTTCAAATTTAGGGGCAAATAGAGAATTTGAGTTTGGAGAAAAGTTGTTACTTTAATGTGGTCATTGGTACCATGGAGGGCATTTGGGTGAAAGGTTGATTCTTCTTGAGTTGTCTTGCTGTCTCTCTCTGTCTGGTAGTTGAAGAACATAAATTCCAAAAGGCCAGTGAGTGTGCATGTCCATTCGGTGTAAATTTTCTGAGGGAGCACAGCTGTATTAAACTTGCTCTGGGTGTCACGGTGCCCCCTGTCCCAGATGCCCACTGCCCCATGCCGACAGAGGAATGGAGAATGATTTGGGTCCAGCCAGTCTCTGAGGCCCATTGAATCCAGAAGATGTCTACAGAAAGCAGTGTGAAAGCGTGGGGAAGTGTGAGCTGGGAGGAAAGGCTATGGGAACCGGACCGGATCTGCATGATGTGCTTGTGTCCTCTTTATTGTCCCAAGATTGGAAGCTGTTGGAGTGTTGAGTCCTGCCTCTTATTCTGTCGCTTCTCCTGCTTAATTCTGGGCTACGCATATAATAACAATGCACGTGAATATTACGTCAGTGAAAACCTCTCTCCTACCCTTGCCGCAGAAGGTAGCCTAAGGACGGGCGGGAGGAGGCTTTGGCATGAGTAGAATCGGAATTTCAGAGGACACGGATGATCACACAGGTGAATAAAACCGTTGCCGAAGGCAGAGGAGCTATTGTGTTACTTCTAATTGCTAGAATTTACTTCATGGTCCAAAAGATCTCAAACTAGTCTAGGCCATGACTGAAATGGCTGCATCTCTGGGAGAAAATCAGATTCCTCCCAGAGGGCAGCAGGTAAGTGGAAGGGTCACTGTTAGCAAAAGTTTGGTTGTTTGGGGAAAACCAACAGAATTTGATCAAATGTGTGACCCGTTCCATGAAGCAGGAATCTCATTCCTGGTCCCCAGGGAGCACAAATATCAATCACAGTGGGTACATTTTGTCAGATTTTCTAATACGGTGGATGGTCACCCCTCACCAACCGTCACCCCTCACCAACCATGGGATTGACAGCCCATCAAAGTACTTATCTATAGCAGCAAAATCATAGTTGGCAAGGTCAAGGCCTCATAGAACATGGGCACTGGGAAAATAATAAAAGTTGCATTAGTATATGTGATTAAACAGTGAGTGAAAGTTCTAGCAGGCATCCATTCCCAAAGGAACCACATTAAACCACTGTTTAATGAGCATGACCACCTGTGGCTGAATTTTGAATTGCCTTCTTCAGTTTGAAAGTGCCCACATCACCTGCTGAGGCAGAAGCGCCCAGCAGCCGACCCAGCTGGTTTTTAATGCGGTAGAGCCAGCCCCCACTGGCTGGAAATGAAGAGCTCTTTGCAATTGCTCCTGTGCTCTGGGGCTGTCTCCCTCCTTCCCTCCCTTCCTCCCTCCTCCCCACTCTCTCCTCTCCCCTCTCTTCCTCTTCATCTCCCTGTATCTTCCCCTCCCTTCTCTTTCAGATACAACTTGAGCAATTGTATAACCTTCTAAGTTTTCACAATTTATGCAAGAGATTAAGGATATATATATATATATATATATATATATATATATAAATAAATATATATATTTATATATATATATTTATATATATATGATCATATATATATGATCAATATATATATTGATCATATATATATATATGATCAATATATATATTGATTTCAGAGAGGAAGGGAGAGGGAGAGAGAGAGATAGAAACATCAATGATGAGAGAGAATCATTGATTGGCTGCCTCCTGCACGCCCCACACTGGGGAATGAGCCCACAACCCAGGCACATGCCCTGACTGGGAATCAAACCGTGACCTCCTGGTACATAGGTCAGCACTTAACCACTGAGCCACGCCGGCTGGGCAAGGGTGTATTTTTTGAAGTCTGGTCTTCCCTCCTGAATTATTTGGGAAGGTCAGTCTTACTGGTCTCTTCTCTCCTCTCCGTGTACTTTCCTGTAGTGCCCCATCTACAGAGTCTACAGGGAGAGAACAGTAATTGTGGATTTTCCTCTAAGGAGTTAGGACAGAAGTAATAAGATAGCTGACTTTATATTTTTGGTAGCAAGTATAAAACAGTATTATCTTAAAAACTGGAGTGAAAGATTATTGCACATAAAATGCTAAAAAAACAAAAACTTATGGCCCTAGCCAGTTTGGCTCAGTGGATAGAGCATTGGCCTGCAGACTGAAGGGTCCTGGGTTTGGTTCTGGTCAAGGGCATGTACCTCCGTTGCAGGCTCGATCCCCAGTCCTGGTTGGGGCACGTGTGGGAGGCAACCAATCGTTATGTCTCTCTCACATTGATGTTGGTCTCTCCCCCTCCCTTCCACTGTCTCTAAAGAAAAAGAGGAAAAATATCCTCGGGTGAGGATTCACAACAAAAAACCCCTTACAGTTTGTGAGAGATGCTGGGAAAGAACGAGTGGGTGGGGCAGTGAGAAGCAATCTGGTTGTTGGCTATCAGAGAGGAAAGAGAAGACGGAGAAATACAGAGGGAACACTTTCACTGAGGGCTGCATGGAGGATAGGCTCCACTGATCTCTATGTCAGAGCTCTGACCAAGGACGCAGCACGAGGGATTTAGGCTGGGCACACAGACTGTCAGGGTGGCTAAATAGGGGCCAGGGTCACAGTAGCCTTGGGATTTAGTTCAGCTGCCAGTGACAGGAACACCCAAAATAACAGGCTTAAACAAGACAGGCGACCACATGGAAGACCTGGAGGCTGGCACTCCGGGGCTGGGATATTGACCCCTCAGTGTGAGGGACCCGCTAGCCTATGCCTTGTGCTCCCCTAGGGCGTGGCTTGCTCCTCAGGGTCCAGGATGGTGTTGCAGCTCCCGCCGTGACGGCTCAGCTAAGATGTCCCACCAACACTGCAGCTGACCCTTCCTCGGCCAGAGCTTAGTCATCACATCTCCCTGTGAGAGAGGGAGACTGAAGATGTCATCCGTTAGCTATGTGTCAACATGCCCAGCCAAAAGAGGGCTTCAGGTCATTGGAGAGAGAAGAGGAGAATCTTCATAACTAAGAAAAGTCATAGAGGTTCCTCATCTTGGCATATTTGTTCATTCAGAGAGGACGGAGGGCCTAATACATTCAGGCATTGCTTGGGGGTAGCTGGGAAGAAGGCACGTGGGTCTCTGCTCTTGTGAAACTTAAAATCTAGTGGGAGCAAGACTGACAATAAACTAACAGTAGATGTGGCCCAGTTGACAGTCTACATTCTACACTCAAGTCTCTCCAGCGAGCTGCCTTCAGGAACACCTGCGCGTAATCAGTGGTCCGAGCAGGCAGGGTCCCACAGCACTGCTAACTCCTGCGGCATCGGGCAGCCCATGGCAGCCTCTCTAATGTGAATTCAGCTTATCAAACCCTCCCATGCCTGCACTGAAAGAACAATGGTGGGGAAGAGGAGGAGGGAGAAGTAAACAATTAGTAAGCCAGAGCCCCACCTGGAAAGTGGCCCCTGAGTCATTCTGAAGCCAATGCCTTCATGGGCTCACATGCCCAGAAAGACCAGGATAAGAATCCAGCTGGGAAAGCCTGTCTGTTTTCATTTTCTTTGGTGGACAAGCATCTGGGGCTCTGTCGCCGCTAAGGGACAGAGCAGTGTGATAAGGATAGCTTGCTAGCTCCTTAGGGCTTTTGAGGCCAAGCAGGGGATCTTGGGAAAACACAAGGACACAGCCTTTTCCTGCTCCCATGACCTTCAGCCAGCCGTCCCTGAGCCTGGTTTTTCTGGGAACCGGGCAGGTGTCCAAGTGCAGTTCACAGGTCATAAGTGGGTGTGGTTTCTAAGTTAAACTGGAAGCCAGTGTTGCCCACCCCGGCCTCCTGCCCTGGCCGCCGTGGGATGACCTAGAGCAGAGCCTCGAACTCTAAGGTGAAGGACCAGTTGTCTGTTTTGGTTTAAAGTTTCAACTTCCAATCTGACTTAAAAATACAATATTAGGAAAACGAAATTAAAAAGGCACACAGAATATAAACTTAGACTTCTATTATTAGATTCAAGAAACATAGAATTACTCTGTCCGGTTGCTCTGAAAGTTTCTAAGGCAGACTCCATTCCTGGCCTGGATTTGCCGGTAGCAGCGAATCCAGAGCTGTCACCACCAGCCAGCTGGGGACGGCTGTCCTTCCCGGCTTCGGCTCCCAGGACAGCACCGAGGAAGCTCTCTGTGGCCTCCCTGTGCCTCAGGCCCGCACATCTCTCTCTGGTGCCCCTGCCCAGCTCCCCACATTTTTAACTGCTACCTGAGTGGACTGACAGCGTGGCCGTCTCTCCTATCACAGTCCCCATGTACAGGTAGACATTTTACTGCACACTTACAGCCAGAGAAATGAAAGGTCACAGCCAATTGTAATCATTATCCAGGCTCCCCTACCTGGACAGGGCTCTGGGCATATACTGGTTTGATCAGCAGAGCAGCCAACCATAAGGCGGGCAGTCGTCACCAGCTGGCCTGGCCTGGCGGGCGTGGGCAGGGCGGGGAGGTCACTGTTGACACTGTGTTGCAGTTCTCCAAGGAGAGGCACGTCATGGACAGAACCCCTGAGAGGCTGAAGAAGGAGCTGGAGGAGGAGCTGCTGCTGAGCAGTGAGGACCTGCGCAGCCACGCCTGGTACCACGGCCGCATCCCCCGACAGGTACCTGCCTCCTCCCTGCCAGCACACACCCAGCCGTCCTCAAACAGTGCCCAAACCGATGACCCTGCAGGGCCATGCACCAAGGCCGTGTAGGCGCGAGCCCCAGTTTAGGCAAAAACAAATACTATCAAATGGCCTGCAGTGGCTTAACTTAGGCCTGCCTTGCCTCTAAGGACACCTTGGAAAAAGCGAAGGTCAGAAAACCAAAGTACACTTCCTCACGCCCAGTGAGTGGATGCGGAAAAGGCAGGTGTTCTGTGGTCGGCAAACACGGGGCAGGCAGGAGGCAGCCGCCGCGGGGCGGTACCTGAGAAGTACAAGGCCGGGCTGCGGTTCCGATGATTGAACTATTGGCTGGCTGCCTGCAGCCTCATGCCCTGTGGAGCCTGCTTCCTTTCTAAGGCAGTGGCTTAATTTCCGATAAAGAGAGGGATGTCATTGAGGCAGCGGCGCAGAGCAACAGTGCCCCCTGTGCGTTGCCCGACCCCCTGGCCCGGGGATGGGGGAGAAGAGGAACCATATCAGTGATCACAGATTCGTGGCCTGGAATGTACTTTGTGTGATGGCTGTTTGAGCGATAGCCATAAATAATAGGGTTTTGTTTGTTTAATAATAAAAGTGAAAAATAAAATAAGTACAGAATCAAGGTCCAGAATTTTCCTTGGGCTTTTATTACAACCTGACCCGGCCAGTCATTTACCCAAGACAATATGACAGGAAACAAGTGGGTGGGGGTGAGGGGAAGGGCATCATGGCATGAGTTATTTTTTTAATGAAGCAGATTTCTCGGCATTATCAAAGGAATAATCCTTAGTCTAACTTTTTCTCTTTTTTTAAGTTTAAATTTGATTGTAGAAAATACAGGGAGCAAAAAAAGAAGAAAATTACCCCCTCACCCCATAATTCTCCCCCCTGGAGATAACCACTGTGAACAGTTTGATATAAATCCTCCCAGACTTTTCTAAATCAAGGATGACATCACACCACATATACTTTTTGGAAGCCCACTTTCTCCACTTAATGACATACCCTGGGAATTTTCTCCAACTATCAGATCTTCTCCTATACCATTCTACATTGTGTGTATTTTCATTGTACACATGCACCATTACTTATTGGGCATGCTGACCAACATCCTTTAAGATAACTGCTATGTTCACAACTATAATTATTTCCTCAGGCTCAATTCCAAGAAATGGAAATTTTGGGGGTGACAAAAAATATTTTTAAGGCAAACATGCAACTTTAAAGTAACCATGGTAACATGCTGTTCTAAGCTAACTGATCAAATGTTGGAATGGCCTGGAAAAATTATCAAAGTTTATAAAATCTATGACTGTCACGGCCATGCTTCTCCCTATCTCAATCATAAAATTTGTTTCCACTTGCCATGAGTGTAAATTTTCAGCTCTAAATCATTCCAGATTGCATAACTGGACACTGTAACAATAATAATGATAGTTATAGCTAACACTCTACTCCTTTACATTTTTACTGCCGCTCTATAGTCACATGATCCCTGCTTTTCAGAGCACATAACCGAGCCACAGAGAGATTGGGTAACTTGTCCAGAGTCACACAGCGGAGCCAGAATGCAAACCGGGGCCGACTGCCTACCGGAATGCTCATGCCGCACCACAGTATACATTCTCCTTTTTCTATAAACGTCAGCATCCTCATAGTTAACGATTTTTTATCAAATACTGTGTTCCATTGTACGAGTGCTTTGCATATATTATGTATGCAGATGTACATTCCTCCCAACTTTGTTCCAGGCCCTCCATCTGGCCGGGGTCATGTCCAAGCCCAGTCCTGCCCACCCATTTCACAGATCCTTTGCTCCAGCCCCATCATTTCCTCCTCCAAGCACCCTTGCCCCTTTCTAGCCCCACCCTATGCTCATGCTGAGCCCCACCTGGAGCACTGCCTTTGCATCCATCCAAATTTGCGCTAGCCTCCAGACCAGCTGGGCTCCTACCTCCTCCTTAAAACCTTTCCTGGCCAAGCCCCCTTCCTCAGCAACCACGTCATTTAACTTTGGCACCAACTCAATTGGGAACTGATCATGCGCCACCTCGTGACAGCGATCCCCCTGTCCCCTCCCAGGCCCTCATCTCCCAGTTTACTTTGTCCTTCACTTTACGACATCGGACATACCATACCCTTTGCTTGTTCATCCTCATTAAAAAAAAGCTCTCTGCTCAGGATAGAAGCTCCATGCGGTGGGGACTCCAGTCTGCTTCATTCACTGCGGTAAACCCGGTGCCTACAGCAGTACTCGGCACGTACTGGGTGGCCAGCATGAGTGACTGGGTCTTCTAAGAATTAGACATTTGAAAAGTCAAGAGCCAACTGAGGGAGTAGAGACAGCATGGCATTGTCTTCTGTTGACCCAAAGAAGGGGGAGAAATACAGCTTCTAAAAGGAACGTAAGCTTGCCCTGCTTTCCTGCTCCTCACTCACGATTTTGTCCCCCCCTCCCCCACACAAGGTGTCAGAAAACCTCGTGCAGCGAGATGGCGACTTCCTGGTTCGAGACTCTCTGTCCAGCCCCGGAAACTTTGTTCTGACCTGTCAGTGGAAGAACCTCGCCCATCACTTCAAGATCCAGCAGACAGTCCTTCGGCTCAGCGAGGCCTACAGCCGCGTGCAGTACCAGTTTGAGAGGGAGAGCTTCGACTCCATCCCCGGCCTGGTGCGCAGCTACGTGGGCAACCGCCAGCCCATCTCCCAGCAGAGCGGAGCCATCATCTTCCAGCCCATCAACAGGACGGTGCCCCTGCGGTGCCTGGAGGAGCGCTACGGCACCTCCCCTGGCCTGGCCCGGGAGGGCAGCCTCGTGGAGGGAAGGCCAGACGTGGCCAAGAGGCTGAGTCTCAACACGGGCAGCGTCCAGGCCCGCGAGCCAAGCTTGCTCAGAGGAAACCTGCTCAGGTGGGTCAGGGCCTCCGGGGGTGTCGGGAATCGCGGAGGGGCCCTCAGGCCATGTCTGGGCTGAGTTAGGCAGACAAGGAGCTCACCCTCCTTGGAAAGATAGTCATCAGATGGACCAGGAAAAAAAATGTCATAAACAGTAATTTCCTGAACTCAAAAATTCAGAAGTAAAATACAGGATTCTGAGTAATACAAAGTACAGCTGTGCTACTAGGAAGCTCTAGTAGATGTCAGTCAGGATCTGGCTGTGCCCACCCCCACCCCCACCCCTGCCTGGACGCAAATGCTGGTCCACCTCTCTCTCACCTGGTGAGCCCTGGGCAAGCTGCTTGCCTGCTCTGGGCCTCACTTTCTTCACTGGGAAGATGGGGCTTGTGAGGGTTCAATGGGTTTCAGTATGCAGAGTGCTTATAACAGCACATAATGAGTGCTTGGTGAGCGTTAATCATAATGATTATTATTTCTGGAGGGAAGTAGAATGTAAGACTGAGGGCAGTTGCAGGAAGGGAGGGAGAACTTTTTAAAAAAATTCTCACCCAACATATTTTTCATTGGTTTTAGAGAGAGAGAAAAGGAGAGAGAGGAGAGAAACATCAATCGGTTGCCTCCGCTACACACCCTGACTGGGATCAAACCCGCAACCTAAGAATGTGCCCTGACTGGGAATTGAACCCGCAGCTGTTTTGGTGTACGGGATGATGCTCCAACCAACCGAGCCACCCGGCCAGGGCAGGGAGGAGGAACTTTTATCTAAGGTATTTAGAAATTCTCCTTTCCATAGTAATAAGACTAGACTTGAGATCCCTTAAAATGTTCAAGGGCTGGGTATTCTTTTCTTGTTTCTTCTGGGAATTCTTCAGCTGACGAGCAGGGAGTTAATGCCATGACAGGGCCAGAGGGACGTTGTCAACACACAGAAGCCCCGCTGAGTCTGGCTCTGGGAGGAGGGCCCCTGGTCCGCCTTTAGAGACCGGGATTTAAAATATATTATTTTTTTAAGATAAGAAATGGAAGTAAGACTGTGGGAGAGTCTCTACATGAACGAGACAGGCCTAGCAGAGCACCTCCTGATCGCCCTTGGAAAGCAGAGCTCCGAAGTTTTGTCACCTCTGGGCACAGGCAGCGGGCGCAGAAGTATCTAACCGTGGGGGTGGGGCAGGCTCAACGTCAGTAATGACCAGCGTCCTGCCCGCCTCCCCACCCCCAGCGCTCCTGCGCGTCCCTGACTCTGGCCGCTGGTTGGCTGGCGGGCCGCCACCTGGGCAAAGGTGTGTGCCCAGCCAGGTTGCATTCCAGCTTGGTGTCTGGCCAGCGGAGTCTGACTGTCGCGGTGATCACTGCTTAAGTATCACTTTTCAGAAGCCGTTGCCTTTTGGAATTTGCCCTCTGCCCTGCCTTATCTCTGAGGGGTTGCTGGAATTTCTCTGTTGCTGGGAATTTTGGGTGGTGGTTTTTTTAAAATTTGATGTTTTTTTTTTCTTTGGTGCTTGAAAAGGTAGGAAAAACGTTGCGACTTCTGTAACATAAGCTTGTAGGAGGGCCGAGGAAAGGTCATTACAACTTGTACAGTGCTTTCTCTTCTAGCAAAAAGGAGGTTCTGTTCCTCGGTGCTGGAGACATTCCCACCTGAATTGGCAAAGGCCTGGAGAATGCTGGCTAACCGGGTGGTAGTTCTAGCCCACCTCTCCCCTGTGGGCCTGCGCTCTGCGCCTCCCAGCTGCCACCCCAGCCCGAGCCCGAGGGAGGTGGCTGTGGGTGTGACGGCCCCCAGGCGGGCCTGTGGAGTATTTGGGGGACCTGAGGTTTACACTGAAATGGAAATGGTGACCCTGTTAATGTCATGGGGGAACGGCAGGTAATTAAACAAGTCGTTGCTCCTGGTAAGAATGTTAGGCTCTGTAAAAAGTGCACATTTCAGTGTATCAGGTTTTCCTGAGAATATTCTGAAACTTTTACCCTGCTCTGATCAACTGATTGGAAAGGCCCAGGGGAGGCCTCCCGGACTGGCTGGCCGGGTGGTGGGGCTGCGGGATGGAGCCCACGGCACAGTCATGTCATAATCGCCCCATCAGCAGTGCTCTCACCCGCAGACATTCCTGGCCTGTTGGGGTATGCGGAGGCACTCTTGTTCTGAGCAGTCATTCCGCGGTGTTGCATAAAGACTCTATGACTTAATGATAGGTTTCTGCCGGGCTTGTCTTTTGCTCCAGAAATAAAGAGAAGAGCGGCAGCCAGCCTGCCTGCCTGGATCACATGCAGGACAGAAGAGCCTTATCCCTCAAAGCCCACCAGTCGGAGAGCTACCTGCCGATTGGTAGGTCACTGGGAATGTCGGGGGGAGGGGGGGGGCGCGTGACAGTGTTCCCCTGATTCCCTTCAGGCTGTTTTTCTGCTCCATCTGGTCACCTCCTTTGGGAAAGACCTAGGGCTCTGCCTGCAGAGGTTTGTAGGACTATATCCGGATGCGAGTCACTGAGCTGGGTGCTTTATGTACTACCTTTTGAGCCTCATAACAAGGTAGTCCCTTTTCGAGGCTGAGGAAACTGAGGCACAGAGGTTAAGTGACTTGTCCAGAGGCATCTGTCAGGTAAGCGGATATGCCAGCATCTGAACTCAGGTTTTCTGACTCGAAGTCCATGCGCGAACATGGGTCTTCATGACCAGTGCGCCTCTGTGGTCCGCTCCCAGGACAGAGGGGGTGGGCTGGTCCCGGGGTTCGTGGTGGAGCAGCTGTCCAGCAGCCCCTCTTCCTCTCCGTTCTCCTTTCGCAGCCAGAAGCGTGCGAAGGTGTGGGATGTGGGGAAACCCAGTAAGCAGTCATATTAGTGGCCATGGGATTGTTTTTCATTCTTTTTATACCTGACCTTCCTTGGGACCACTTGGTGATTTTCCTAATGCTCCTTAAACTCCTTCGGTGTGGGCTGTTGCACCGTCTTTCTCCCCCTTCCCAGTGGGCCTCTAGCTCTCCCTCAGAGCAGGCTGGGCCCACCCTGGTGCTGAGAGTGATCAGAGCGGTGTGTGCTCTATGGCTGAAGACTTGTGTTTTTAGGGCACAATTAACTGACTCACTGCCAGAGTCCATGTATTTTTCTGCTCCGCCTGTCCTAACTTTCTGTGACAGCCCAGCTGTCGGCAGTCCCTGGGATTTAAATTACCCCAGAAGTGTGGGGTCGGGCCAACTTTGCCCTCAGAATGCCCTAGACCCGTGGTCGGCAAACTGCGGCTCGCGAGCCACATGCGGCTCTTTGGCCCCTTGAGTGTGGCTCATCCACAAAATACCACAAAATATCACGTGCGGGCGCGCATGTACAGTGCGATGGTAACTTCGTGGCCCATGCGCAAAAGTCGGTATTTTGTGGAAGAGCCACACTCAAGGGGCCAAAGAGCCGCATGTGGCTCGCGAGCCGCAGTTTGCTGAGCCAGTTTGCCGACCACTGCCCTAGACTTCTCTAGACTGGACATGGGTGGTCACACTGAGTTATCTATTGAGGATGAAGATTCATGGCCAAGGGCATGAATTGAGAGCAGGGGCGCCGTCACTCTAGTTTTGTTTGTTGTGTGTTCTCCCCGCAGCTGAGCCTTTTCTGACCCTGTCTTACCCTCCACAGGCTGTAAGATGCCCCCTCAATCCTCGGGTGTGGACACAAGCCCCTGCCCAAACTCCCCGGTTTTCAGGACGGGCAGTGAGCCCACCCTGAGCCCGGCAGTGGCTCGGAGGGTCTCCTCGGACGCCAGGGCAGGGGAGGCGCTGAGGGGCTCAGACAGCCAGCTGTGCCCCAAGCCACCCCCCAAGCCCTGCAAGGCGCCCCTCCTCAAGGCTCCCCCGTCTCCATCCACCTGGCTCCACTCCGAGGCCAACTACTGTGAACTGAACCCAGCCTCGGCCACAGGCTGTGACCGGGGAGCGAGGCCGCCCCTCTGTGCCCAGGACAGCTACGTGGAGCTGCTGAAGGCCAAGCAGAACGGGGCGCCGGGTCCCCGGAACTCTGGCACCAACTACCTGATTCTTGATGACAATGACAGGGCCGGGCCTCAGGCGCCACCAGCGGCAGCGGCGCAGATGGGCCAGGGGCAGGACGCGGAGGCCGAGTTTGTGATGCCCCTCCTGGAGACAGCCTCCTCCTTCAGGCCCAACGACTTCGTGTCGAAGCTCCTTCCGCCTGAGAACAAGCCCCTGGAGACAGCGATGCTGAAGCGAGCAAAGGAGCTGTTCACCAGCAACGACCCCAAGGTCATCGCCCGGCACATGCTGAGCGAGGACTGCAAGGTAGGGACCTGGGCGGGTGGGTGGGGTTTGTTCTGACTCTCGCACATTTGGAAGCGGGCATCTGTCTGCGCCTCCCTCCACCTTACCCTTTAAGTCAGGGGAACCTTTTTTCTACCAAGGAAAAATGTTGTAAATATTTGGATATTTACAACATCATTCGAGGGCCATACAAAATTATCAACTTAAAAATTAGCCTGCTCTGTTTGGTCAAACATTTCATTAACTCACCCCTAATGCCTTGGCAGCGCCAGACCAAATGATTTCTCAGGCTTTATACGGCCCGCAGGCCGGACGTTCCCCACCCCCGCAAAGTTTAAGTGCTTTGTTCATAGGAAAAGTCTGAAGATCACACCAGCGTGGGGATTTATTTTAGGGGTGGGAGCCACCGGCCAGGATAACCTTTGCCCGGGCAGGAAGCTCATAAAATTCACCTGGGACAGAGGGATGGCAGGCTGCTGCCCAGGGCCTGCCTCCTTCCCCAACACCTGCTGGTGTCTGGAGCTGCTACAGCATCCTCCCAGCTGGGGCTGATTTCAAAATTCTCCCCTGGCCTCAAGTCTGCCAGAACTGGTAAAGCCAAGTCCGAAGGCAAGTGGCTGGAGATGAAAGTGTAGTTTCTGAAGTAGCAGAGCTTGGTTATTTATTTATACACACACACACACACACACACACACACACACACATATTACTAAATGGTCTTTAGGCCAATAAACATTTTAAAGTTTCCTTGATTTTTTAAAATAAGTAATACTTGCTCAATTTAGAAAAATAATAAAAATGCAGATGAAGAGAAAAGGTGAAAATCACACAAAATCCAGTTTTCTGGGGATCGCCCTGGCTAACATTTACTCTGCAAGCGGAGACACGGAAATAATGGCGCGCAGGTCTGGTCGCTCACCACAAAAATGGCACCGTCTGGACATACGGTTCCAAACCCTGAGTCTCCCACCAACAACACACTGTGCCTGTCCTTCCATGTGACTACCTAAGTATATGTTTACAACGCCATCATTTCTTAGTGGGAGCATGTCTTTTCGTCCTGGGTGTCTTTTGTTCCGAGGTGGCCCAGGGCAGGCTCATCCTTCAGAGAGAGATTTCTAGAAAGCAGGTGTCTCCGGCTGGGGTGGCCCAGCCTGCTCCGCAGCAGAAGGGACAGGTCCTTGCATCTGAGCAACAGAGAAGGCCTCTCTGAGAGTTACAGCCCTTTCTCGTTTGTAGCTCCGTGAAGTCAATTAGCTTCAAAGGTCAGGGCCTATGTAGGAACTGGCTTTTCCAAAATAAATTTCCTTTTATGAAGGCCATAAATCATGGCAGGAAGTGGTCTCTGAGCACCCCTCCCCCAGGGAGCTCCTAATCGATGGAGGGCTCACGTGGCCGGGAGGAGGCCTCCCTGCCTGGCTGTGCTGGGGTAACAAACGCTTTCCTGAAAACAGGGCTGAGCGACCACTCAGCGGACCTTTGGCAGCTGGGAGTCACCCCAAATGCAGCGGCAGCCAGACAGGCCTGGGAGGGGCGTGTGTGTGGCCTGCGTGCGTCGGGCCCTGAGAGGACAGCCAGGAGGGGGCTGCTCGGGAAGAGCGGGGCTGCTGACGTGGTTGGCTGAGTGTCCCTGGGCAGTGCTCACACATGGTCGGATAATCACCAGGTCACATTCTCACTTTAAAGCGAGCTAAACCTGTTTGGACAGTGAGAGGATTTAGAGTTCCTGCTCCAGTACGTCACTCGCACTGAGCCTGGCATGAGCCGGTCCAGGTTCTCCGGAAAGCAGGCTCCTCGCAGAAACAGGTCTGGATTCACATAACTGCCTAGTTCCCGGGAGGAAATGAATCCTCTTCCTTGTGGCCTCAAGCAGGGCTCGGTGGTAACGTGGGAGGCGAGATGCTGAGCATTGGTGCAGGAGGGTCTAGAACCTTCTCCCACTTTGGCGGCTGTTGTAAATGCTTCCCTCCACGTCCCGCGTGGTTCAGGGTTCAGGATCTGAAAGAAGAGCCGCACACAAATGAAAGAGAAAAGACACGAGATAATTTGGGAATATTGGGGGGCCAGGCGGCTAAGTCCAACTCAAGAGGAAGGACTTCCACTGGTGCTCAGGCCGCACCAACCATTTTATAGTCAGAGGTAAACAAGGTAGTGGTTACCATCGTTACACAGTCTTGTGAGTTTCACTTGTTTTGACCATAATTACACTTCCTGCACTTCCCTCAGCCCATTAGCTTCCCAGATAAGATCTAGGGAGTATTATAAGGTCAAGCCTAATTATGCTAAGAGGACTGTGCCCTCTAAGCTGGGACTTGTTTTTGACTTTGCCAACAGGTCAGTCTGAGGCTTAATCCTATATTGGCTCCCCACAGCGGCCATGAAACTAGACCTTGTGTCTGTTTGCAACAGAAGGAACGTGCAGCCACCCTATTCTTGTTACGTTTCTCTTTTGCATTTTGTCCTGTGAGGCACCGTTCCCCGGTCTGCCTTCAGTCACCCCTGGAAGACGGAGCCCCCCTGGCCAAGACGGGAGCAGGAGCCTGCCTGCCTCTCCCCAAGGGCGAGGCTGTTTAGTCTTCCTTCCTCCCTCCTGAGTCCACGCCATTTCCTTATCCTCTTCCTGGAGCCATTGACCAGGGCTTTGCCAACAAAGCAGGCACAATCAGTGACTCTGAGGGAAATAAACAGGGGCCGTTACTACTCCCCCCAAATGCAGCGGCAGCCAGACAGGGCCACCCCAAAGCTCAGAGCGTGCTGGGCAGCACCTGAGTCCTGAGAGCTGGTTCCCACCAGTGCACAGAGCCCCAGGCTGACACCCAGAAAGGCACCTCCAGGCTGCCTGCCCAGCAATGTTGCACCCCACTCCCAGGGTTGGGGTGGGTGTCCACTGAGACCCCCCCCCCCCCCACACCTGCAGATGGGCACTGACCGCCCTGACCTCACTCACCCGGAACCATTCCCCAACCCACTTGTCTTCGCAGTGGTGAGAAGTGAGGGACAGTAGTTAAGAGCGTGGCCTCTGGGGATGAGCTGCCTGAATGTAATCCTGCCTCTTTCCCTCTCCTGATCTTTCTCTCCCCACCGATAAAAGGAGGAGAATAAAACCAACTACCCTCCATACCATGCCTGGCCAGGATGAGGCCAAGTAAGTATTCTGTTCAGCAGTGTTACGTATTCAGACTGATAGATGCCTCCCTTGGGCCAGGCCAGGTCACGGTGGGAGAGGGGGCGCGACAGTGAGACAGGAATTCAGACCACAACGCAGGTGGGAAGTGCTCTGTAGGAGAAGGCACAGGAGCTGTGGGGCCTCTGAGGCAGGGCCCTGAGCATGGGGCAGCTAGGGGGTCAGGCGGATGTCTGAGATGAGTTTTGAAGGCTGAATAAGAGTTGGCCGGATGAAGAATGCAAATAGCTTCTTCCAGGCGGCAGGTGACACACACATGCAGAAACTCGGGTGTCAGGAACCGTGGTGGGAGGGGCCGGCTTATGAAGACTCGCTCTGTGTGGGCAGTGAAGGTGGTGAGGGAGGTCCTGGTAGGTCTTCCATGTTTTGAAGTCTCTACTTCGGGGCTGACGCCAGGCTGCTGTCTTCAAAGCACGTTGCAGTTAAGTGAGGGAGACAGGCCTGCGAGGACACAGTGCCCGTCAGTCTTCTGCTGAGGGCAGCAGGGATGGTGAGCTGAGCCAGTGCTCTCACTGCAGCTCAGATGGTCCCTTGGCAGCTGGGAGGAGGGCCAGGCATGCCCCGCCGGGCTCCCTGGGTCCCTGCAGCAGCCCCGGCAGCAGGCGCATGAGGAACAAGCAATGTTCAGAGAAACAGGGTGGCTCAGGTCTGAAGAGCAGAGGGAGGCTGGGACACCCCATCATGGGGCTCTGAGGTCGCCTGCCGGGTCCAGCTCATAGTAAATGCTCGAGACTCTTTGTCCCGCTGTGTCTGTGTCTGTGTCTGCACGGCCCTGGTGTCTCCCGGGGCACCTGGTCCAGGCCCTACACTGTGAGCGCAGGACCCCTTGTCCCATAGCTCAGCCACAGGGCAAGCGGGTATAGGCATTTTCTGGTAAAATCCCGGGAAGGTGACCAGGGATTCGAACGTTTACACTGAAGGAAAACAGATCAGAGTCTTCTCTGTCAGAGCAGGGATCGCTCCGGATGCTGGTGCTTCCGGAACAAAAACGAATCCATGACAAGCCCTGAATCTTGCTCCACAGAGTGTGTGGATTGGAGGGCGCTCCACAGATGTGCTGGGTTTGGAGCTTCCGTCGGGGCAGCTGTCTAAATAAGCAAGCAGCGTGTGTGTGACCGCAGGTGGCTGGCGTGCACATCTGGGCTGCCTTGCCATGGTCAAGGTGTAAATCTCTTTCCAGATACTGAGCCAGAATTCTTCCCCCTTCTACGCGGCCGATGATTCACAGCCTGTATTTTCAAACAGTTCTTTGGGGTTTTGAGCTCATTAGAGCCTTTGCAAAGTCCTTGAGAAAGGTGAACTCAGCAGTTGTGTTAGAGAAGGGGAAACTGAGGCTCCGGGAGCGTGGTATGAATCCTGCATCCTATTCTGGGCCCCACTGCTGGAGAGCTGGTTCCCACAGGCTCGTTCCCCAGGGCTGACAGCGGATCCTTGCTCAACCACAGATGTTAAGGGTCAGGGTTAATAATAACAGCTAAACTTCCAGATGTGTTTTGGAGCCTATTACGAAGGCATCTGGACTGTTCATGTGCCCAGGATCATTGCACTGGGGGACAGCTCTACAGAGCGAGGGAGGAGTTGCCCCGCGCTGGCCATGTGTCCGGGCGCGGTGAGGCCGTTGTTTCGGGTTGCGCTGTTAGTGCATCAGGGTGCTGCTGAGCCACTGTTCCCCTTGTAGAGAGGCACGGGCTCCACTGCAACATTTTGAGGTCACATGTAATAACTATAAGAGGCCGGCTAATCCTTGGTTCTGATGAGTGTGATTACACACTGGGATTGAGATGGGGGTTGCTGGCTGGACAAACAAAGATTTTCTTTAGGGAAAAGCCCTCTGGGGGAGACTTCGGGTTTCAAATCTCTGTACGCTTTTCTAATGGTTTCCAGACGTATGATGCACTTACAGAGCCCGGAGGGGCGTAATTAGGGGTAATAGCAGCCAGCCTGCCCCTAAGTGAGAACATGAACGGCCAGGCATGCAGCAGAGGGCCGACGGGACGCAATTCTGCGTTCCCACGCAGGGGATCCGCCGCAGCCCGTGGTGCTGTCCGCAGCGGAACGTCGCAGCGGGACCCAGCCTGCCTTACACAAAAGCTGGAGGAACGGCTCTGTGCGCTGGCAGGCCAGCAACACCAAATCTGCAGGTTCTGCAGACCAATTTCGGTTCTTTCCTCCCAGGTTTTACATTCCAGTATGTGTTTTTAAAAGCCTCCAACTATCACATTTAAAACTGTCTTTTCAAAGGCTGTTGCTCAAATAGATCTGCAGCAAGTTAAGCGCATCCACCCTGTCCAGCTCAGTGTATTTCCTTCCACACACTAACTCCGTGTTTGCAGCAAGCCAACTTCCTGACCCCGTGTATTTCCACTGTGTTCTCGACAGGTCGCTCGGATTCTTGAAGTCTCAGAGGAGATGAGGAGGAACATGGGCGTGAGCTCAGGGCTGGAACTCATCACCTTGCCATACGGCCACCAGCTGCGTCTGGACATCATCGAAAGGTGAGCAGCGCTGTCCCTGCATTCCTGGCCCTCTGCCGTCCTCCTGTCTCTCTCTCCAGCGCAGAGAGAGGCCCAGCACTGACGCCCAGAGCCGTTTCCCTCAGGGGGGTGTGGCCCAGGCCAATTTTGCCCAGAAGCTCAGCCAGAGAATTCCTGGAGACACACAAAGAGACGGCACAGAGGAAGTCAGGGAACAAAGAACATGTTCCCGCCTGTTCCAGATTGCTTTCGGAATTAAGTGGGAGTTGGTGGGAAAGGCTGGGAAGGACAGAGTCTGAACATTTTCTTTGATGGGTGGACAGATGGGGGATCAGAGGTCAGAGGGTGAGGGCACACAGACCCTCTCCCCTCCGGCCTCTGAAGAATCACTGTCTTCTTCTCAGGAAGAGCCAGGGCCCTGGCTGTCCCTGTAAACCCACACACATGGACGTCGGATATTTAGAAATTAGACAGAAATAGCAAGGCTAATAGCAAGAAAAGAAGCACTAGGCTTGATTATCTTATTAGCGTAGAAGTTGGCCTTTCTGACACACAAACAAAACGACAGTTGATTTGGGCAAGACTATCTTGTTAAGTTTTCTGTTTTTCCAACCCACTTCCCATTGCCATGGCACATGTGTGGGTTGCAGTGGTCAGCCAGGCCCTGAGTCCATCGGCCCCCGCCCAGGGCTTTTCTGTGATGGCTGACCTGTTCTTGTCTCAGTCTGGCAGCCACATGTGGAGGGACAAAACGTTTTATTCCGCTGTTTACTGTTTTAAGTGTAAGTAGCCACACGTGGCCAGTGGGCAATGTGGTCCGAGGATGTCAGCCCTAGAAAGTAAGCACCGCCTTAGGTGGCCGGGGGTCCACACCCCTGCCTCCAAGGGCACCTGCTACAAAGCAGATAAGATGGCTCAATGCCGCCGTTGTTTTGGCTTCACCGCCACAGACGCATCCGATAGAAGACACCAGAATCCGAGTGGGAGACTTCTGGGAGGCAGGAGACCAGAAATGCTGACTTCGTTCAGGCATCCTTGTTGTCGAATGCCTTTGGGCAATTGTAGGTCTGACTTCTGAATTTTTTTACTTTTCTGATCAGATTTTTCTAGATTCTAGCCTCTCTCTCCTGGTGTCCTCTTCCCTCCCCAAGTCCAGGGCCTGGCGTCTCGGGTCCACTAACTTCTCTGTTCCTGTCTGGGCTCAGTGGTCACGGTTTCAACAGAATTGAGCTGTGCCACCAACTTCCCCCTTTCTCATGTGGTACATTTTTCAGTCTGAAAGCTCCCCAAGCTCCAGGCCTCATTTGATCGGTTTCATTAGTGTGTTGGACATGGGGCCCAGGCTGAGGTCGGCAGGCTTGGGGCTTCTCCTCTGGCTATTTTCAGACTTCCACTCTCGTCTACATCCGTTTCCTCTTTCTCCTGATTGTCGCTTGCCTGTGCTCTCACTTCGTGCTTGTTTCCTGTCCAGGGCTAGCCTGTGGGTCTGGGGAGCGGGTTTCTTCATTACAATGTGTTTAAATAAAGGTCAGGGGTATAGTGGCCCTGGAAGGCCAAATTACATCATCTTCCTGCGTCTCAGAATCAAATACAAAACCACCTTTTATTTCTTAATTTACCACTTCCCCCCTTCCAGGCCTACTGTGTGGACATATTCTTGGTGTAACAGTCAGTGCCCCTGCTGCCAGCCCCGGTGGCCCCTGGAGCAGACACTCCAGGCGAGTGTCTTTCCCATCGTGGTGCACGCAGGAGGTTTTAGGCAAATGCTGGTTGAATGAATGGATAGAGTTACCCAATTAACCACTGGTGTAATGCCAGGTCTTAAAGAAGTAGAAAATATGTCTTTTATTAAAGGCTACTAAAACATAGGGGGGGAAACACTGAATAAAAAATAGACTAAATGCAACATGGAACATTAGTTTACTATTTGTTAAAAGAAACATCAAAGATGTTTGGCTCAACCTTAACTTTTTGCAAATGGTAACAAAACTCTTCAATAAACAACAGATGATAAAAATAGGCTTTAATTCTATATTAGGGTCCATTAATTAAGAAAGACAGGAAACCAGGAAGGAGATAAATAAAGGAAAAGAGACAGGCAAAATGGACCAAGACATAGAGGGAAAGATGTACCCATAGAGATCATCGTAGTAACAAGTATTATTTGCTAGGTGCCTGCCAGTGCCAGGCGCTTTGATTAGTTTTATACCCACCCACAGTCTCTATTTCTCACAATTACTCTTGTCCCCATTTTACAGATGAAGAAATCGAGGCATGGAGCCGTCAGATAACACCCTAAGGCCACACTGCTAGTAAGCAGCATACATGCGTACAGGATGGGCAAAAGGAGGTTTACAGTTGTTCTATGGAAAATGATACAATAATTAGTAAATGGCACAAGCCAAAACTCGGTTTCACATACTCACAACTGCAGGCCTACTTTTGCCCCACCCTGTGTGTGTGCAAACACACAGAGATGGCAGAGCTCATTACTCATTTTTTATTTATTTTTATTTTTTGTTAATCCTTACTCCAGGATATTCTCCCATTGATTTTTAGAGAGCATGGAACAGAGGGAGAGAGAGAAACATTGATGTGAGAGAGACACATCAATTGTGTTACCTCCTGCACGAGGTGCCAGGGATTGAGCCTGCAACCAAGGTACATGCCCTTGACCGGAATCAAACCTGGGACTCTTCAGTCCGCTGGCCAGCACTCTACCCACAGAGCCAAACTGGCTAGGGCAGGGCTGGTTACTTATATAACAAACATTAGCGTGTGGACGAAAAAGGGGCCACATCCTAACCTGATGAACTCAGTGGCGGCCTTACACACCCAGAGACCTAAAGGAACCACCAGGATGGTCTAACCATAAAAATTCCCAAGGAAAAGCGGGTAGGAGTGGGTAGTCACCTCCTAAGCCTGTAGCGTCCTTGACAAAGGTCAGTCGCTAACTTGGAAGTCTTTTATCGTTGTGCATCTAAGATAACATACCTTTGAAATGTCAGAGTAATTTTCTTTTCCAGACCCCTCAAAGGCACAACCCCTGGCACCAGAGCAGGAGACCACATGGTTATCTTGTTGCCCACAGACCATCTCTCTGTGCTGTAAATGTCAGCTGTCTCATACCCACCAGTGTAGGAGAAGTATCTGCCTCAGTTTGCTTTTCATCTAACCCCGGTGATTGCCCCGCTGTGCGTTCTCCTGCCGTCCTCATCTACCACTAGTGGATTTCATGTAACCCCTCTTACACCTCCTCCTTTGAGTCTAATGTATAAAATAAGATGCAAAACTGACCATTCTCTGGAGCATTTTCTCAATCCATTGAAATTTCGCTTCCTGGCCGTTGCCATCAGTTTGGCTCAAATAAATCTTCCAAGATGTTTTCCTAGGCTGGACGTTGGCCGACAAGGGAAACGTAATGCTAGGCACGAGGTGAATCATGCCACCCTTTGCCCAAGGAAAGGAGAGGGTCCCACACCTGTGGGCACAAGACAGCAGCATGGCCTTGGAGTGGCATCCTCAGCTGCAAGCTTTAGGACAAGGTGGCCCCAGGCTTTCAAACATGTGTGTCTTAGTGACCATACTATGAATTGGGGCTTCGCCTCCAGCACTTGTATCGGCCTGGAAGACATGTAATTGAGGCCATTCTGGCCCAATGCCGTCAACTCCCCAAACCTGATTTTCAGAGGGAAGGAAAGGGACTTCAGTCTGTGCTGCCTGCCACCAATAGGAGACTCTGTGTGACCCTTCATCAGCCCCATGGAGACTCTGTGTGACCTCATCACATCAGCCCATGGAGACTCTGTGTGACCCCATCACATCAGCCCATGGAGACTCTGTGTGACCCCTCACATCAGCCCATGGAGACTCTCTGTGACCCCATCATATCAGCCCATGGAGACTCTGTGTGACCCCATCACATCAGCCCATGGAGACTCTGTGTGACCCCCTCACATCAGCCCATGGAGACTCTGTGTGACCCATCACATCAGCCCATGGAGACTCTGTGTGACCCATCACATCAGCCCATGGAGACTCTGTGTGACCCATCACATCAGCCCATGGAGATTCTCTGTGACCCCTCACATCAGCCCATGGAGACTCTGTGTGACCCCATCACATCAGCCCATGGATTCTCTGTGACCCCTCACATCAGCCCATGGAGACTCTCTGTGACCCCTCACATCAGCCCATGGAGACTCTCTGTGACCCCTCACATCAGCCCATCGAGACTCTCTGAGCCACATTGTCATGTAGAGAAAAAATCACACTGCTTCCTGTCCTGGGTCTGTGAGGTCACCCTATATAGTTCAAGATGAGAAAAGGGAGCATTGTTGACAGATACAAACAAGATTTCTATTTTCTTAGAGCCTGACCTTACAGGGACATCCTGCCAGTCCGCTGTTCCGTCTTCGTCCACGTCCCCACTCACTTTCTGGCCTCTTGACCAGAGCTGCAGACACTGTCTCAGCTCCTCATCCCTTCCGTTGTTCTGACACCCTTGTCGTCTTCCTGGATCAAGCATATTCTCTCATTTTTCTGTCCTTTCCATTTCCCAGGCAGGGGGCTCGGCAGAGATGGCCCGATGCTTCCCTGAGGAGGGGAGTCCCCGGTGTGTTGGGGGGCCCTGGTATCTCCTTGGATCTCTCATGGCAGAAGGTACAAGGAGCCCATGCACTTTGCCTGAGGAGGGCCCTCTTCATGCCCCAGGTCCAGCCTGAACAAGGCCAGGTCCTGGGCATCTGTCCTTTGGAATCCGAATAGTGCACTCTCTGAGGCCTGTGCGGTCCCGCTGCAGTCAGCCTGTGGGGTGGTCTCCAGAGAAATCACAGCCAAACTCTGAGCTACCAGCACATCTCAGGGCAAGAGCAGCACATGGTGCAAAGCCAATCTGTTTCCTAGCTGGTTTGGTTTCATTTCCTCCTCGTCCTGTTGACCCTGGGCCTGACCACTGATCTCCTCCCTCGCAGACACAGCACCATGGCCATCGGCATTGCAGTGGACATTCTGGGCTGCACAGGCACTCTGGAGGACCGAGCGGCCACCCTCAATCGGATCATCCAGGTGGCGGTGGAACTGAAAGACTCCATGGGGGACCTCTATTCTTTCTCCGCCATCATGAAAGCCCTAGAGATGCCGCAGGTACGTTTCCACTCGCTTCGTGCAGCCCCTCGGGCCTGCGTGTACTTCATGTTCGCGAGCCCATGTTTAGCAAATCCCAGAGGGCGTCAGTCAATCTCAAAAGGTAAATGGAATCGTCGTGAAAGCTGCTTTGATTAGGGGGCAACCAAGAACAGTGTCCTAAGTATTTTGGTTGTTTTTAAAAATAGTGGGTAATTGCCAAAAACCCACCCTTTCTCTCTGATGCACAATAAGAAGAGTCACCCTCAAGAACAGGTTCCTGAAGAACCAACTAGGATGATGTGTCTGGCGCAGGTGTGCTGGGTCAGGGAGAGACTGTGTCCCTCTGAGTCACCAAGGGTGCAGGCAGTTTGGGACAATGACTGGAAAACAGCCATTTGGGGAGCTTACATCTGAGAATCCTAAAGCGCTTTATCTCCTAGAATGTTCCTCAGGTTACCTCAAACAGCCTCTCTCATTAAAAATTCCAGATTTCTGGACCATCTGCCATATAGCCCCCTAGTTAGAGTTTCTGAAATCGGGCACTTTGAATTTATCTGCTTTGACGGGCTGTTTTTAGGATGAGTGTCAAAACTGAAACCCTGTGTTTGAAATCAAACCGCATAGAGTCCTGTGGTCTTGCTCACAGATTCCGCTTCCCGCTGTGTTCAGCAGCCCTAGGTGCGTAGGGGACCCCTGTAAGCCCCGTAAGCCCTGTCTGCAAACAGTGACACAAAACCGCTCGCCATCCAGCGTGGCTGTTTCAGAGCTGATTGCCCTGGACATCCCGGGGCCTCACGGACACCCAGCATCGCCCCTGGGAAGGCGGCTGTGGACACGTGTCCTGCAGGGCTTGTTGGGAACATGATTCTCCTGCTTGAAAGCAAGGTCACCTTAGAAACAGGAAGTTGAACAACTTGGTTCTTTCATCAGGAAAATTGGGGGAGGGGTGTCAATTTCAATTATAACGTAATATTCCAAGAGTTTACAAAATTCTTTAGATGCCCTGGGATGTAGTAGGGCTGATGCTGGGAATAGGGCAGGCTCAGCCATGTTTTCATGATATACTGGCCCCCGCAGTATCAGGAGTTCTAATTTTTCATTCAGGTGCTTTCAGTTGGCATGAGATTTATTTCCTCTTTATCCAAACCTGCATACAATTTTGAGAGCCGAGCCAGCAGGCTAAGCTGTGTGAGTAGCCCTCCAGCCCAGAGCGCCCTCAGAGTGTGGCATTGCATGGCTGCTGTCCATGACATCAAACTCCGCGGTGAGGGACTTACCCCGGAGCACGTTAACGGGCCTCTGTAGGCGGCGCCCTCCCCTTCTGGGGCACCTCAGCGATGAGGGGACAGCCCCCGGGTGCTCAGGGCCCCGGTGAGTCAGCACGGTTTGGGGAGGGAAGTGGTAGACCCAGGGGAAACCCCAGAGGAATCACATCATTTCTGTGTCTCACCACCCAGCCCTGCCGCTGCATATAGCCACAGGGCCACTTTCTCTTCCAGCGTCTCGTACCCGGAGAGCATCCAGCAGACGGGCTTGGCCTGGAGACAAGGGCTCTTTCAGAAAGGCGAAGCTTGAGGCTGAGGGAGAGCAGGGGGTGCGGGGGGAGAGGGCAGCGTGGTGGGTGGCCAGAGGAAGACCAGCCCACATCCTTTCCTTCCCAGAAAATCAGCTGGTGTGGTCCCTGCTCCCCTTTCCCTTGGAACACACAGGCGCGCTGAGAGGCAGTAAAACGAAGCTCGGCTCTGTCCCTTACCAGCTGTGCTGCCTCAAGCGAGCGCCCTCATCTCTTCTGGTTTCTGATCTGTAAAACGAGGCCAGAATACCTGCTTCACAGGGTATTGCGAGGACTAGATGAAATTCCTGATGCCTGAGCTGGCGCTCGTTCCCTAGATATTAGCGCCCTTCCTCCCTTCCTGGTTTCATGTAGAAACTTCAGACACTGAGGCCTGCCGGTGTCATGGTGAGTGGGGGACCATCTGTCTTCACGCAGTCAGAGTCGGGAGCTCATGTTGGTGTTGACTACATTATTCCAAAAGAAATGTAAAGGCATGAGAGGTGGCAGCACGTGGCCTGGGTAATCTAATCCCCTGTGTCTCAGACGTTACCACTTAAGAGTTGCATGAAAACGCTGGCCCTCGCATTCCTACAGCTTCTCCTTGGTGCAACCTCTATGGAAGACAGCTGGCAGCTCCTTTCCACCTTTAAAATACATGCACTCCTTGACCCGGTAGTTCCACTTCTGGAAATTTATCCTCCACATATTTTCACACAGGTACACATCTGCAAAATCTTCACGAGGGAATTTTGTAGTTTATCCTCAAAGTGGAACATAGTACAGAAGTTTAACAAAATAAGGCTGTTTTATGCTGTTTAATATGTACTGATATGAAAGATTTCCAAATAAGGAACAAAAAAATATGTGTAGTATGACGTGCATTTATTTATTTGCAAGTAGAGTGTGTGTGTTTACACAGACATACATACACATACAAGAAATTGATGAGAGGAGTTGTCCCTGGAATGGGCCATCAGAGCAACGCAGACAAAGACAAGGGTGGGGGATTAACTTTTCTCTGTACACTCCGTTCAACTGCTTTGACTTTTTTAACATGGGCATCTATCAGCTATTCTAAAACTTAAGGAAAAAGGTCATTTTAGCCCTGGCCGGTGTAGCTCAGCTGGTTGAGCGTCATCCCACGCACCAAAAGGTTGCTGGTTTGCTTCCCAGTCAGGGCACCTGCCCAGGTTATGGGCATGATCTCCAGTAGCGGGTGTGCAGGAGGCAGCGGATCGATGTTTCTCTGTCTCCCCCTCTCCTTTCCTGTCTCTCTAAAATCAATAAAAACATATTTTAAAAAATTTTAAGTCATTTTACAAAGGACCTTTTACAAAATAGTAACACCTTTCTTTCTTCCAGATTACAAGGCTAGAAGAAACGTGGACTGCCCTGCGGCGCCAGCACACCCAAACCGCCATCCTCTACGAGAAGCAGCTGAAGCCATTCAGCAAAGCTCTGCATGAAGGCCGAGTCTGTCGACTGCCCGGTAGGTGCCTATGAGACCTCAGGCTGTATTTGCTCTGGCTTGGTCAAAGCATTCAGCAGGGCATGTTCTGAGCCCTGAGTTGCCTGCAGGATTCATGTTGTCCCAAGTGGAGGATAGCATTCTTTCCTAGCATGTAGCCCTTGATCATGTGTATCTTTTTTTTTTTTGGAAAAACATTCAGTCAGGTCCTCTGCCTATTTTTTTAATCAGATTGGTGTTTTTGTCTTTTTGCTACTGAGTTCTGTAAGTTCTTCATATAGTATTTTGGATATTAATCCCTCATCAGATAGATGATTTGCAGATATTTCCTCTCATTCTATAGGTTGACTTTTCATTTTGTTGATGGTTTCCTTTGCTGTGCAGAATTTTTAGTTTGATGTTGTCTCACTTGTTTAGATTTGCTTTTGTTGCCTTTGCTTTTGGTGTCAGATTCAAAAAACATCACCAAGCCCAGTGTCAAGGAGCTCACCACCTATGTTTTCTTCTAAGAATTTTATGGTCTTAGGTGTTACATGTAAATCTTTAAACCATTTTGAATTAATTTCTGTATGGTGTGAGATAGCGGTCGAGTTTCATCCTTTTGCATGGGGCTGTCCAGTTTTCCCAACACCATTTATTGAAGACTGTCCTTTCCTCATTGTATGAATATTGGCTCCTTTGCTATAAATTAATTGACATCTGTGTGCGAGTTTATTCCTGCTTTCTCTTTCTATTCCATTCTCTATGTGTCTGCGGTGGTTTTTGTGTGCCAATACCAATATCATACTGTTTCCTTACTATAGTTTTGTAATGTAGTTTAAAATAAGGGAGCAGGATGCTTCCACATTTGTTCATTCTCAAGTTTGCTTTGGCTTTTTGGCGTCTTTTGTGGTTCCATACAAATTTTAGGATTGTTTGTTCTATTGCTGTGAAAAATAGGAATTTCATAAGGATTGCATTGAATCTGTAGTTTGCTCTGGGTAGCATGGACTTTTAGAGAGTGCAAAGGTATTATCCACCAGCCCGTGTTCCCTGAGAACACCTCCTAGTCGTGTGCCATACCCGAAACCTATCCCTCAGGGTGAGGCTCCAGGACAAGCAAATAGGCCCCTTTCACAGAAAGATGGGGCTGTTTTTCAGTCTTCTCTGTGCAGTGCCCTGGGCGGGGAAGGGGCAGCCTGCCAAGCACTCCCTCTCCAATGATTACAATCCAGTGGGACCCAAGAACACAACTTCCCCTGAGTCACGTGATCAGGGAGAATTCCTTGGGTGGCGGCTGCAAAAACCAGGGTCCCAGCTACAGGTAAAAGCTCTCCTCTGGGACTAGGTGCTCTAGTCCACAGCAGGGGGAGGCACAAAGTAGTGCCTGGCCTTTGAGGTCTCTGCAAAGGATTACAATCAACCTCAGATGTGTATTTAATTAGAAACCTGCCTCTCAGGCTGCAGTTATGATGATAAGCTCCTAGGCCACTGTTGCCTCTTGCTGTGCTCTGGGGGCAGGAGCTGTTTAAAAACTCTTTCTCCATCGGTTACAGTCCCAAGGCACCCATGGGCATAAGTCCCAGTGGCCACCAGAGCCTGGCAATGTAGAGGTGTCCTCTGGCAGCAGCCGTAAACATCGGGAGCCAGACAAGGATGTGAGCTCCTTTCTGAGAGAGACCAGTGAGCTGGAGCAAAGCTGAGGAGGAGCATATAGATGGCTCCCACAGAGAAAAGAGAAGAAAAGCCCTGGCCAGTGTGGCTCCATTGGTTGGAGCGTCATCTCATACACCAAGAGGTGGTGGGTTCAATTCCTGGTCAGGGCGCATACCCAGGTTGTCGGAGCACGTAAGGGAAACAACCAATCAATGTTTCTCTCTCTCAAATCAATATAAAATATCCTTGGGTGAGGATTAAAAGAAAGAAAAAAAAAGAATAAAACGTAGGGGGAGCCTAGTATTTTAAAAATAAAGAGGCGCCCACTGGCCAGGTGAGGCAGAGTGTGAAGATGGTGCCTGTCAGCTAGCAGGCCCCTAGGTGTGGCTAAATGACATGACAACCCTCTCGCTGAGCCCTGGGGTGGGTGAAGCAGAGCATGTGAGCCCTTTAAGAGCTATTTCTCAGATCCTTATGGTCTTGTAGGTTTCATGGACTTGAGCTCCATTGGTTTTTAAAGCTAGACCTTCTGAAGACTTGACTCTCAGCATAGGTCTTAGAAGTTGGGGTGCCCAATGTGGGGCTCAAACCCCAGGCTCCTCAGGGAGAAGCTCTGGGTTTTGAGTTCCCTCCAGACTGTGGTCACTGTACCGGGGTTGGGGCTTATGATGAGACCGTGTCCCAGCCTCTCCTACATGCTGCTGTGTGGGCCTCTCTCATTGGCCTGATTTGTAGGAGTTTCTTTTTTCAGAGGAAGTTGTTCCATATTTAGCTGCAGATTTAATGTGTCCATGGAGGAGGTGGGACTAGGATTCTCCTACCTCAGCATCTTAACTTTGGGAGAAAAAAAAAATTATCTGGAAAAAAATTTTACCCCTTGTTTTTCAGAGTCCACGTGTGTCCTCCCAAACAATATATCAGTCCCCCTGCTGATGCCTCTTGTGACTTTAATGGAGCGACAGGCTGTCATTTTTGAAGGAACTGACACGTGGGAAAAAAATAACGAAAGCTGTGAGATTATGATGAACCATTTGACAACAGCCCGACTCGTGGCAGAGGCTGCACACAGTTACCGGATGAATGCCGAGAGGATCCTGGAAGGTAAGAGCTGCTTTTTATAAGCTGCTGTCGGCTCTGAATAGTCACTGGAATGAAGGAATAAAAGAGCATGGATGTTCTCAATTAGAAAAGACCACGTAGGAAAGATTGAGGCGTGGGAATTCTGTTTCCTCTATGATTGGTCATTACTTCCTCTTAATTCCTAACTGACTTAAGATCCTGTTTCTCTCTTCTTTGTATGTATTCTGTTGAGTCATTGGTATAGAATAAACAGAGAGAAAAGGTCAAGAAAGAATTGGTCAGCTTGCCCACCTCTAATAATTACCATTAGAAAACATGATGGGCCAACATAAGGAGTCAGAGTTTTATTTGACTTCATTTATCTGCATGCCTATTTCTTCTCAGTCACACTGGGCACGGAGCTCCCTGCTCTTAGCATGGAAGGGTCCAACACAAGCAAAGGTACTAAAAGAGCTTGGGGAAAAGTACAAAACACAAGTACTTGGGTTTGGGTTAGTGTAGAGTGGGTCGTAAGGAGCGGCCAACCAGGCTGAGAAGGAAGTGGGGAGGCCTTCCATGTGCGTCTGTGACTGAAGAAGAGCCAGGGAAAGGTGGGAGGGTCCCATCACATGGTCACATTTGTGCCTCCAGTCTGGCATCTGTGTGGAGGAAGGTGGGAGGGCTGGAGGCTTATAGGCAAAAAGACCATTTAGGAAGCAAATGCAAGAACAAGGACTTGACTGAGGCAGTTATCAGGGACGACTATTTTCTCATCCTCACTAGATAATTTTTTTAATTCTCCAAGAGCCAACAGTTTGATCCACAAGGTTAAGAACTGAATGGGGTGAGAGAGGCCTATTATTTCACCCTAAAACAAAGCTGTCGCCTCAGAACCAGAAATTAGGACTAAACAGTTTGCACTGTGCCTGATATAGGTGTAAGCATTATATACCTGTTTCATTTTTTTCCTCAGAAAGTTCTCCAAGGTTAGCATTGTAGAACTCAAACAATAAATGCACATAATTCACCAGATAGTACAGTGCCTGCTTATATAAAGCCAATAAATGCATTACATTGGATGAGGCCTAAGCCAAAAGTGTGCTTTAAGTTGTTCTATAGCAAATTACTTTAAAGGTATCTGATGGTATTTCTCAGTTGATCCTGCTACAGGTTTACATAGCAAGTTCCCATTGCTGGTTATGACTGTGAACCCACTAAGGGTAGATATTTGCTCACCATCATATCCCGGGCACCCAGCCCAGAGTAGGGGCTCAAAGCATATTACCTGAATGAATGGAAGTTGTCATCTGGCCTCTGGTTGGTTATCTGTCAAAGATATTCAGGCATCACAGGGAAAGATGGACTAACAGTCTTCTATTATCCTCTCAACCACCAAGATCCTCTGATCTAGATGGTGGGAATATATTTAATGACAGAGCGCAGTACCCCATCGATAATCGAGGATGAGGGCCCTGGCCAGTGTGGCTCAGTTGATTTGGTGTCCTCCCATGCACCAAAATGTTGCTGGTTCGATTCCTGTCAGGGCACATGCCCAGGTTGCAGGCTTGATCCCGGGTTGGGGGCATGCAGGAGGCAGCCAATCAATATTTCGCTTGCATTAATGTTTCTCTCTCTCAAAAGAAAAAAAAAAGGATGAGAACCACATGCTTATGTGACTCTGTGGCTAGAGATTACCCCTCTCTAAGAGTTGACTGAGCATCCTTGGCCTTAAGTAGACCAGATAATTCTCTTTTATAGAAGAGGAGAGAGAGTTGAGAAACAGGCTTACACATATGGTTGTCAATTGACTTTTTTTCAATCTTTTTTTAGTCAATTGATTTTTTTAAATTTTTATCCTTGCCCAAGGATGTGTTTATTGATTGTTTAAAAAATATATTTTTATTGATTTCAGAGAGGAAGGGAGAGAAGAAAGAGAGATAGACACATCAATGATGAGAATCATTGATCGACTGCCTCCTGCACAACCCCTACTGGGGCTCAAGCCTACAACCCGGGCATGTGCCCTTGACTGAAATCGAACCCAGGACCCTTTAGTCTGCAGGCGGACGCTCTATCCACTGAGCCAAACCAGCTAGGGTTGTGTTTATTGATTTTTTAGAGAAAGAAACACCACTGTGAGAGTGAAACAACAATCAGTTGTTTCCCGTACACGCCCTGACTGGGAATCTAACCTAGGTGTGTGCCCTAATTGGAAAACGAACCCACAACCTTTCATGGTGTACCAAGTGATGCTCCAACCAACTGAGCCACCCAGCCAGGGCTGTCATTTGATTTTTGACAAAAGTGTCAAGATAATTCATTGGGAAAAATACAGCCTTTCAGCAAATGGTGCTGGAACTATTGAATATTATATGCAAAAAAAGACAATCTTTACCTCATACCATACACAATAATTAATAAAAAATGATCATAGAACCAAAATATGAGTAAAGTAAAAATAAGTGGAAAGCTCCTATAAGAAACCACAGGAGCCTGGCCAGTGTGGCTCAGTGGTTGAGTGTCGACTTACGAACCAGGGGGATGATGATTCGATTCCCTGTCAGGGCACATGCCCGGATTGCAGGCTCGATCACCAGTGTGTGTGTGGGGGGGGGGGGGGGTGTGCAGGAGGCAGCCAATCAATGATTTTCCCTCATCATTAATGTTTCTATCTCTCCTCCCTTCCTCTCTAAAATCAATAAAAATATATTTTTAAAAATATATATTTTTTAAAAAGAAAACACAGGAGAAATTCATTGTGACCTTGTGTTAGGCAAAGATTTTTTTAAGCTACAAAAAGCATGAACCTTAACAGAAAACACTGATAAATCAAAATTTAAAATTTTGCTCTTTAAAAGACAGTTAACAAAGTGAAACAGCAATGCACAGATTAGAAGAGAATATTTGACAAACATACAGGACAGGACAAAAGTAGGTTTAGAGTTGTTCATATGGAAAATAAACAATAATTAATAAATAATAATACAAGAATAAACTGTTTTGCATACTCACAACTATAAACCTACTTTTGCCTCTCTCTATATCTATAAAGGGCTTATATCTAGAATATATTAGGAATCCTTGGAACTCACTGAGAAGACAAACAAGATTTGAATAGACACACCAGAGATGATACGGAATGACAAGTAACTACCTGGAAAGATGTTCAAAGCATTAGTCGTTAGCAAAACTGACCATACTAGAGGTTGGCAGCCTATGGAGAAACTAGGATCTGCATGTTACTGATGAGAATATAAAATGGTGGAGCCATTTTGGAAAAGAGTTTGAGTTTCTTAAAAGTGAACATATATTTACCATATGCCCTAATGTGGAACTCTTAGAGAAATGAAAAACACATGTCCACTCAAAACCTTACACATAAATGTTCATAACATTATCCATAATACTCAGAAACTGGGAACAGCCCAAATGTCCACCCGTTGGGGATGGATAAACAAAATGTCACATGTCCATGTAACTGAACACAATAAAGAGGAATGCATTAGTGATAACACACAACAACATGGAATAATCTCAAGAACACCATGCTAAGCGAAAGCAGCCAGACACAAAGAAAAGTCCATACTATGTAAGTCTATATTAAATTTCTAGAAAAGGCAAAACAACAGCAACAAAAAGCCGATTCGTGGCTGGTGGGGGTCTGAGGTAGGAATGGGGACTGAGTGCATAGGGACACGAGGGAACTTTCTAGGGTGACAGAAGTGTTCTGTAACTAGTGGTGATGGTGGTGCAGCTGAAATGGGTGACATGTAAACGCTACATCAATGAAGTTGTAAAAATAAAGCCCACGAGGTACTTTGAACCCTCCTTCTCACAGCACAGCCCACAGTGGCTTGTGCACGTGAATGTTATTCTGTCGTGGCTCAGTGAGCTACTTGTTAGCCTTTCTCTGCAGGTGCTCAGGTCCTTGAGAGTGGGACTCTGCCCTCCCTTATATACCGCATTTCCTGTGTTTTTCCTTGGGGGGATTTTTAAAAAAGAGACAAAGTTCATTTTGATCCTACTTTAAATGAGCAAGTTTTCAGTCTATTTTCTACACTGTTTTAGGCAGAACTGAAAAAAAACCATTTTGTTTTGTTTATATTAGGTTTTCAACCAGATGAAGAAATGAGTGAAATCATCAAGACTGAATTTCAAATGCGATTGCTATGGGGCAGCAAGGGCGCACAAGTCAATCAGGCCGAGAGATACGAGAAATTCAACCAGATTCTAACTGCCCTCTCACGTAAACTGGAACCTCCTGTAAAGCAAGCAGAGCTGTGATAACTCTCCAGAGAACGTTCAGATATTACTTCAAGCTTCTCCGGTTCCTTCTTTGGAAAAGCTTATCATCTGAAGAAATAATAACGTGCAAATCTGACAACATACAGGCTTTTAGTATCCACAGGATATTAAACATGTAAATTGCACAGAGCACACTTATTTATGAGTTGTTTAAAATTACTACTGATTTTTAAATGGAAGATAATTTATTATTAAGGTAACTATTGCTAATGTTGATGAGCAAATTTAAGAGAAGACACTAGCTATGTTGACTGGTTGCTTTCTATTACCGAGATATTTAACCATTTTAGTTTTAATTCCATGTCAGAAAAGTGTAAATAGAAAAGAATTTAAAAGCATGAAACATTTCGGACGGTATCAGTTGTATGATATTCTTTAACTAAATATGAAAAAATGTAAATAGCCATATGAAAAATATATCTTTTTGTGAAACAACTGTATCCAGACTCGTTACTATTAAACAACCATCATAGCACAGTAACTCTGTCTCCTAACCTTGCTGGGTCACCCTCCTCCCTAGCCACTAGATTTCTGACAGTGAACAAAAAACAATGGTCTGATGTGGAAAATGTAAGGTTCCTAGCTTAGGAGACAGTGACTAGCGATACAATGGAGAAGACATAGGTTCAAAATCAAGCTGTGGTGCTTGCAAGTTCACCTCATCAAGCCCCGTGTGCAGCACAGCACCGGGTACAGGGTGAGCACACAGAAGCTGGTATAGTTCAGTGGTCGGCAAACTGCGGCTCGGTAAGCCGCGGCTCGCGAGCCACATGCGGCTCTTTGGCCCCTTAAGTGTGGCTCTTCCACAAAATACCGACTTCTGCGCATGGGCCACGAAGTTTCAATCACATTGTACGTGCACGCCCGCACGTGGTATTTTGTGGAAGAGCCACACTCAAGGGGCCAAAGAGCCGCATGCGGCTTGCGAGCCGCGGTTTGCCGACCACGGGTATAGTTCATGCCATCACAAGTGTTTCAGAACAGTCGACTGTTGTTTTTCCTCTAGCTGATTAGTATGAGTTTTCTAGATTTTTCACTTCCCAAAGGGTGTACCTTCTAGTTTATCAGTATCCCTCTCAAGTTTTTCTATTGTAGAAAACTTGGAATACAGGATTACAAAATAAACTTAATCACTCTGCCACCAACTGTCAAACACCAATTTGGTTTTTCTTCTGATCTTCTAAATAGTTTTGAGACCATACACAAGAGTTTTATATCCAACAAGTTGCGGTATGCCTTTGTTGTTGTTGTTGAGAGTATTACAGATGTCCCTCATTTTTGCGCCTATGCCCTCCTCCACCAGTTGCAGTGTATCTTTAAAAAACACACCTCTGGTCAAGCTTGGGGTGGGGGCCTGGGATGCCAGATACCAAGAGGGAGAAACTAAACTGCACGCTCCAGGGTGAGAGAGCTGGAGGGACAGCCACCATTGTCTCTGTGCTGAGCCCCCTGACCCCAACCCCTCCCCCCCACACACACACAACTAAAACTGATTCTGTATTAGCCTGTGAACTCCATTAGCTCCACTCTGACAACTCCCTGAGACCCTGCCTTGCCCAACTCACATTCTGCCCAAGGGTCTGTCAGCAGCTGAGCCTTACGGGCAGCTGGCAGGCAGAGGTGGGTATCCGGGCGCCTTGGGCCTTTTGCTGACCTGCCCAGGCGGCACCAGCCGCAGTTTGCAGTGTGGCCTCCCATGCACATCCAGGCCCAGGACAGGCAGCTACCAAGTGCAGATCACCTTGTAGCTCCTAACAGGTAGCTGGTCAAAGGGAGCATCTGACATTGGCCTGCACCAGCCCCTCCCAAGAGGCCCCAGAACCAACACACCTGGTGGCCAGCTTCAGACCAAAACAGGCCACCACCTGATTAGCTCCATAAGTGGCACACCCAAAGAGAGGTCTTGGCAGGCACAAGACCCCACTGGGGTAAATCCCACTCCTCGGGGTCAGATTCTACACAGCATCTCATATTCTGTGGTCAATCCTCACAGCCAGTCAGCCTGAGGGTTAATCCCACATACTGATGTGCTAACAGCAGTCAAGCTCAACTACAACAGGAGGGCACACACAACCCACAGAAGGGGCACTCCTGGAGCATCTGGATCAGGTGATCAGTGAGACTGTGCCACTGGGCCCCACGGGACACCTTCTATATAAGGCCATCCTGCCAAGACTGGGAAACGTAGCAGATCTACCGAATATATAGAAACAAACACAGAGATAAAACCAAAGTGGGGAGACAAACGTATCCCAAATTAAATAGGAGGAATCTCCAGAAAAAAAGGACTAAATTAAATGGAGGCAAGAAGTCTATCAGATACAGAGTGCAAAACACTAGTTATAAAAATGCTCAGGGAAGTTAATGAGCATTATTCAGAAACAAAGAATACAATAACTGAAATAAATACACAAGAAGGGCCGAGACTGGTTTGGCTCGGTGGATAGAGCGTCGGCCTGCGGACTGGGGGGTCCCGGGTTCGATTCCGGTCGGGGGCATGTGCCTGGGTTGCGGGCATATCCCCAGTAGGAGATGTGCAGGAGTCAGCTGATCGGTGTTTCTCTCTCGTCGATGTTTCTAGCTCTCTATCTCTCTCCCTTCCTCTCTGTGAAAAATCAATAAAATATATTAAAAAAAATACACAAGAAGGAATCAACAGCACATTAGATGAAGCAGAACATCAAATCAGCATCTAAATAAAAGACAATGTAGCAGAAAACACCCATTCAAAACAGCTAAAATAATTTTAGAAATTAGGATAGTTTAAGGGACCTATGGGACAACATTCAGTTGCCTCAAGAAATAAGAACAATCTCAAATAAACAATCTAATGCTACACCTAAAGGAACTAGAAAAAGAATAACAAAGCCCAAAGTGAGTAGAAGAAAGGAAATAATAAAAATCAGAGTGAAAATAAACAAAATAGAGTCTAAAAAACAACACAAAAGATTAATGAAACCAAGAGCTGGTTCTTCGAAAACATAAACTTGAAATTGATAAACTTTTAACTAGACTCATCAAGAAAAAAAGAGAGCGCTTTCCCCAGCTGCCAGTAAGGTGCTCAGCCCACATGAGACCCTCACTTCATCTGGCAATGAGCACTTGCCCAGCTCTCGCCCACACCGTGTCTTCTGTCTGGGAGCTCGCCTGCATCTACTCAGCCCTCATCCTGCATGATGATGAGATAACAGTCACAGAGATGTGATCAATGGCTTCCTTGAAAGCAGCTGGTGTAAATTTGAACCTTTCTGGCCAGGCTTGTTTACAAAGGCTCTGGCCAATGTCAACATTGGGAGCTTCTGCAATGTCAGGCCTAGTGGACCAGCAGGTGTAGGGGCTAGAGATCCTGCCCCCTCTACCACTGCTACCTCAGCTGAGGAGAAGAAAGTGGAAGCAAAGAAAGAATCTGGGGAATCTGGTGCTGACAAATGCTTTGGTCTTTTTGAACCTCTCGTAACACATTCAATAAAAAGCTGAACTCTGCTAGGCAGGGGGCGGGGCAGGGCTGGGACAAATAAAATCAGAAATGAAAGAGAAGTGATAACTGACACCAAAGAAGTACAGAGGATTATAAAAAACACTACAAACAACCATATGTCAACAAATGGGGCAATCTGGATGAAACATACAATCTTCCAAGAATGAATCAAGAAGAAACAAAAATCTGAACAGACCAATTGCTACCAACCAACCCAAATCAGTAATAAAAAAAATTCCCAACAAACAAAAGTCCTGGAATGGATGGCTTCATGGGTGAATTTTACCAAACACTCGAAGAAGAATTAACATCTACCCTCAAACTATTCCAAAAACTCAAGAGGAGGGAAGGCTCCCAAGCTCATTTTACAAGGCCGGCATTACTCTGATTCCAAAACCAGACAAAGACATTACAAAGAAAAAAAAAATTATAGATCAATAACCCTAATGAACATAGATGCAAAGATTCTCAATAAAATATTAGCAAACTGGATCCAGAAATACATTAAAAAGATCATACACCATGACCAAGTACAATTTATTCCTGGGATGCAAGATTGGTACAATATCCACAAATCAATTAATGTGATATACCAAATAAACAAATTGAAGAATAAAAATTATATAATCATATTAATAAAGGGAAAGCATCTGACAAAATCCAGCACCCATTTATGATAAAAACTCTCAGCTAAGTGGGAATAGAGGGGACATACCTCAACATAATAAACCATATATGACAAACCTACAGCTAATATCATACTCAACTCATACTAAAAGTGTGAGTTGGAACAAGATAGATATGCTCACTTTCACCACTCTTATTCAACATAGTACTGGAAGTCCCAGCCACAGCAATCAGACAAAAAGAAATAAATGGCATCCAAATTAGAAGGAAGAAGTAAAACTGTCATTATTTGCAGATGACATAATATTATAGAGAAAAAACTCTAAAGATTCCATCAGAAAACTACTAGAACTGATAAATGAATTCAGCAAAGTAGCAAGATACAAAATTAATATCCTAAAATTGTTTTCATTTTTATACACAAAAAATTAAATTATCAGAAAGAGAAATTAAGAGAGCAATACCATTTACAATTGCATTTTTAAAAGCATCTAGGAATAAATTTAACCAAGGAGGTTAAAGCTTAGTACAATACATTGAAGAAATTACAAATAAATGGAAGCATATACCATGCTCATGATGGGGAAAAAAATTAACATTTTAAAACTACTGCAATCACTACCAAAATACCAATGGCATTTTTCATATAATAGAACAAATAATTTTAAAATTTACATGGAACCACAAAAGAACCCAAATAGCCACAGCAATCTTGAGAAAAAATATCAAAGTTGGAGAAATCATGATACATGATGTCAAACTATATCATAAGGCCATAATCAAAACAGCATGGCAGTGGCATTAAAACAGACACAGACCAACGGAACAGAATAGAGAGCCCAGAAATAAATCCACGCCTATAAGGTCGATTAGTCTATGACAAAGGAAGCAAGAATTTACAATGGGGTACAGACAGTCTATTCAATAGGTTCACCGACATTAATAATCAGGGGAAAGCAAATTAAGAGCAATGAAATGCTATTTTACATCCAAAGAACTGACAGAAATTAAAAAGTCTTACTCTTAAGTGTTGGCCATGATATGGAGCACAGGTAACCCTTATAGACAACTTGTAGTTATGTAAAAATGTTATAATCACTTTGAGTGGGAAATGTGGCATTATCTTTTAAAACTGAATATAAATATAACCCACAGTCTAGCCCAGTGATGGCGAACCTATGACACGCGTGTCAGAGGTGACATGCGAACTCATTTTTTGGGTTGGTTTTTCTTTGTTAAATGGCATTTAAATATATAAAATAAATATCAAAAATATAAGTCTTTGTTTTACTATGGTTGAAAATATCAAAAAATTTTTATATGTGACACGGCACCAGAGTTAAGTTAGGGTTTTTCAAAATGCTGACACGCCGAGCTCAAAAGGTTCGCCATCACTGGTAGCCATTCCACTCCTAGGTAGATCGTAGAGAAACTCTCACATCCATAAACATGCACGTGGGCGTAGAGAACAGCGTTGTTTATACCAGTTGACCATGAACAGCGTGGAGGTTGGAGGCACCTACCCCCACACAGTCCCAAATTTACATATAACTTTTGCTTCCTCATCAACTTAATTACTTAACCTGTTGTTGACTGGAAGCCTTAACAATAACATAAACAGTTGAATAACATATATTGTGTATGTTATATGCATTGCATACTGTCTTCTTACAATAAAATAAGCTACAAAAAAAAAGTATTATGAAAATCATAGGAGAAAATACACTTATAGTACTGCACTATATTTACTGTACTGTGTTTACATCATCTGTTTACAAGATTGTCAGTGCCTACCTCAAGTCTTGTATGATATAAAACATTGTACATGTTACACTTATTACTAACAAGACACCAAAAATGAAAAAATGTAAAAAGCAAATTAATATTACAGGCATATAACAATTCATGCACTGATAATGAAGCAGCAGCAATATGATTGCTTTATGGTAGCCTACTGTAATCAACAGGACTCCTTCACTGTAACCTAGCCTATACACTAATGAATGAATCGTTATGAAATTTTTATGGTATACAGTAATACAGTCATATTCGTAATATGGTATTGAAAACATTGTTACTTTTTTAAAAACCACTTACCTGTGATAGTAGGCTGATACACATTATCTCCAATTAGAAGAGAGGCATACTGTACAGTAATGTAATTCTTTGAAAGCAAACTTATAAAACAGTAAGAAAACGAATGCATTATCAATTCTATATTGAATATCACTCATCTTATGCTGATGTAATGAAAATCCACTTCCATAAACTCACTGTACATGATGTTCTACACGATGAACACTTAAGCGATGATGACACGAAAACATCTCATACAGTTCTTACCAGATAGTTATTAGATTTTCACACAAAGACACACACATAGAAAACTGGTAAGTTTATTAACTGTACAGCCTGATGGTTATTTACTATTCATTCAGTGGGAGTGAATCATCACAAAAGGCCTTCATCCTCCTGGTCTTCACATTGAGTAGGCTGGCTAAGAGGTTGGTCTTGCTGTCTCAGGGTTGCAGAGGGAAACAAGATGGAGGAGGTGGAAGGGGAGGCAGGAGAGGCAGGCACACTCAGTGTAACTTTACAGACATATATCATAATTTGTCTTTTTTCTTGCTTTTTCATTTCTCTAAAAATGTTTCTGTACGGTACCAATCCTTCTTCTATTTGCTTTAGTTTCTGTGTCTGTATCATAAAGGGTCCATGTCATAAGAGAAGTCCGAGTAGTCTTGAATAATTAGAACCCTTCTGCCAAATAGTCTAATGTCAATGTGTTTTCTGGCACTGCTTCTTCTGTCTTCTTCCTTATCACCTGACATTGGATTAGAGGTACTCACCTCCATCGTCATCTCCTGTTGATTCCTCTGGGGTGGTGTCTATTAGCTCTTGAATTTCTCCAAGAACCTCATCTTGAAAGCCTTCACACACACACACTCACTCACTTTTAAAAAAAATATATTTTTTAAATTGATTTCAGAGAGAAAGGGAGGGGGAGAGAGAAACATCAATGATAAGAATCATTGCCTCCTTCACACCCCCTACTGGGGATCGAGCCAGCAATCTGGGCATGTGCCCTGACCAGGAATTGAACCATGACCTCATTGTCCATAGGTCAGTTCTCAACCACTGAGCCACACCAGCCAGGCCACACTCACCTTTTTTATTAGTATTTTGTCATATCCACAATCTTGCATGATTTCCTTAATTGGCTCTGTCATAAATCCTGTAAGTCCAGCACAACATCTGGACAGTTTTCTTTATCTGGGACTTGTTTCAGGCTTGATGGCTTTCATACTTCTCCTGTAACTACGAAGGCATCTTCAATAGTATGATCCTTCCAGACTTTCATGTTCTACCAGGTTCTCTTCCATAGTGCGGACAATCCTTTCTCGAGTACCATGTGTAATGAACCTTAAAGGACTCCCTGATTCGGAGGCTGAATAGATGTTGTTTGAGGGCAAGTAGACCACTTTGACACCTTCAGTGTTGAACTCATGGAATTCTGGGTGACTTAGAGCATTATCAAAAGAACTTTAAAGGGCAGTCCCTTACTGGGAAGGTACTTCCAGATTTCAGGGACAAAGCATTGACAGAACCAATCCAGAAAAAAGGTTCTCCTTGTCCAGGCCTTCTTGATGTACAACCGAAAGACTGGCAACTGGTGTTTATCTTTTCTTTTCAGGGCCTGGAGGTTACCAGCTTTCTAGATAAGGGCTGCACTTGCACAAAACAGTCGCATTAACCTATCCCCCATCCTGCCTTAAGCCCTGGTTCTTGCTCCTCTTACTAACAAATTACCTCTGTGGCATTTTTTTTTTCCAGAATAGGGCACTTTCATCTGTTCAGGCAGATAGTCTTTCTCCTTAGTTACTCTCTTAATGGGGTCTGGGAACTTTGTTGCCTATTCATCTGCAGAAGCTACTTCTTCAGTTACCCTGACATATTTTTAATCCAAACCTCTAAAATGACCACACCATTGTTAAACCCTGCAGCCTAAGACCCATCACCTTCTTTTTGCATCAAGTTGTCAAACAATGACTTCACTTTTTCTCAAATTATTCTCCAGTCCAAGCAGCTTGGTCTGCCCAGGCAAGTGAGGGGAAAGGTAGACTTGGAGGTGGAGGTGCAGACAGAGAGGACACACAATGTGATACTCCCATCCGGAGACGTGCCAGGGGCAGAGGGTGGAGCACACAGCGGAAGCTGTGCTGTCACTTGCTAGAGAGTACTCTCTACACTCTACTGGGTATTAAACAGAGTCCTGGTGGAGTCCTTCTCCTCACACCTCCTTAATGCACATGACAGGCCACCCTCCACCACAGAACAAGATGCCCGAGAAAACAAAACTTTACTACAGAAGGGACCATGTCCCCAAACACCTGTGTCTACCCAGTCTCTTCCAGGATCCCCTTGAGCAGGATAGGAGCTTACAAAACCAAAGAGTCCCAAACCTGAAATAATAGTAAATCTATAGTTAAGCCCTTCAGCTTTTGTCCTCAGTGCTTAACCCTTTGGGTGCCAACCAATATCCTAGGAACTATGCTAAAATTGCCAAGGCATTTTTGCTGATTTTAGAGCAGTTTAGGAAAAAAATTATGAATCGCAAGTAAATGAAGTTACATATTCAATATCTTCCACAAAATCGTCATCTTCACAGCAAGAATTGACATACTTAGCAATATCATCATCCCTAATAAAAGCAGACTTAGAACTGGACACTGCAGGAGGAGCGTGATAGCGCTCCCGGCACTTTTGGCGAAAGACAGGAGGAGAGCGATCGCGCTCCCCGGCACTCTAGGGGTTTAAACAATAAACGCATCACAGGGTGTCATGTGTGGTTTGAGATAAACAATACGTACCAGAACTTATATGAGTAACCAGTTTTACTTCTTTTCGGAATTACTATTTACCAACCAATATGGAAATATTTCAGTATTTAGCATTATCTATGGCTATATCCGTGTGCAGTGGCTGAATATCAGGCCTGCTAATACAGAATATGACATGATCTTTGCAAAGCTCAAAAACATGGAAAGTTAATCAGGTTAAGGAAAATACCCATGTGAAAAAATTAAGAAAAATAAAGATAAATTTTTTAACCCCCCAATCTTTTGGCATCTCTTACACTTTCTAGTTTCTTAGAATATTAACAGTGACTATACTCAGGAATATCTTTGATGCCAGGTATATGAGCTCATTGAAATAGGTTTGGTGTTTATAATTTTTTACTTAATACCTCCCTCACAAAGAAAATCTAGCCTTTTCAACAAGGCTGAAGATACTTTTGCTTTTGTTAGGATTGTTTTAAGGATATTATCTTTCCCTAACAAGTAGGATTTGGCTTCCTGATCTTAGTTCAGATAGTAAAAGCCCTTTTCATTTTGCGATTTTTGTTGTTGACACTGTTTTCCTACCGCTTTGTTTTGTATGTGTCCCTACTTCCAGCTTGGCATGGATCTCTAAATTTTGATCTCAACAATTACAATCCCTCATTGTGCAGGATCAAGTAACCACTCATAGTCTCATTTGCCCTTTTAAAAAGCTGAACCTTGTGAAATGAAGACTTCCTAAAATGACAGATATGATCCTATTTATGGCAAACAGAAGACAAAGGTGCTCTCTCTAACTGGTCAGAAATTCAAGCAGAAGCACAGGAAATGCTGAGAGCATGTGGCACAGGGAGAGTTCTTATGGCTGCGGAGGATGAGGTGGTGCATAAGGAAGGTCTGTGAACACAGCTACTGCAGAACAAAGACTTAAAATCCAAACTATTACATTCAACTCAAATCCACTGTAAAGAAATATTAACTTTTTTCCTCTAGGAAAGATTAAGTGCAACTAAAAAGTAGAATTTCCAAAACTGCTTTGCAAAAAACGTTCCTTAACACAGATGTTCCTACTTATGTAACTTATCATCTATTTTGTATTATCTGGAATATAGCACGTTCAAGAACAAAGTCTTTAGTTCACATAGCAATAAGAGATAACACATTACACACCTTAACCGACCATGAAAAGATTGTTTTATTTCATGAAAATATTCTCAACAGAGAACACTATCTTAAACAAAGCACTTACCATTAAGAAATCAACATGTGCACAAAAAGAGTAAAAATTATTGAAAAATTAAAGTTTTGGGACAATTCACATGTTCAAAATTTAAGAATGATTTAAACTGTGCAAGTACAAATGTCTGTCCTATTGTAATAACCCATATACAGGTTGCACTATTCCACGTGAAGGAACTTGCCTCCTAAGGAAGCAAATCCTGCTTTTAGAAAAACAAACAGTAGCTTGAAAAGAACAGTTAGTCCTTACAAGAAAACCTTAAACTTTGCCCTCTGTGGCTGCTAGCCAAACACACACAAGCACTTCAGGCTTTGTACAGAAGACAAACACAGCCAGATCACATTTCCTCCTCATTGCTACCTTTCAAATACGAATAGCACTAGGATTTAAAACTACTTTATGTAGTCTGTCAGTATTGAATAATGTCACATTATATAAATAACCCTGTAACGAGATTCAAAATCTAAACTTCATAGTTTACTAGCCTCAAAAGTAATACACTATACGTCAGCTGTGTAACAGGGGCATATTCGATCTTATGAAGACATTAACTTTCACACAATTGTCATTCAGCTTTAGTATAACTAGTATGAATCAAATAACACTGGGAAAAATTATTAAAGCAGTCACACAGCTTCTAAAATATTGCTTAAAATCCAACAATACACAGACCATTTCACGTTCTCTTTCTTCCCTCAAAACAGTAAAGAACCAAATTAATGAAGCTTCCATTGGTAGAAATATTCCCCCACCCCCACCCTCCTCCCTATTAAACACCACTAAGAACTTAATTAAGATACAAGTCATTAACAGAACCACAAATGCGAGGCAGGACAACATGAGCAATAGGGCACTAACGACAATTATATTTACAAGTATAAACATACAGAAATCTCCATTTTACAAGTAAAAGTGCACATAGATCATTACAAAGTTTCACTAACTTTCATCTGGTTCAAACAAAAGCATCACTTGGAAACAGACTATCATTGTAATAATCAAATGAGAACATGGTAACCCCAAATTAAAAGACAAGTGGGGGAGAGGTCCATAAAACTTCTCATAAAAACACTGAGTAAAGTCAAATGGACTTGAACATGTCTTTAGTCTGGTGCATAAATTTGGAGATGCACCGTCAAACATGGTAGAGCTCTAAAAGCCACCCACCGAGGCTACATCGCAGCTGCAGCAGCCCTGGGAGATAAAGGAGGTCACACTGAGCTGACACATAAGCCCTTTGTGGGATACTGTAGTGGTAGTGTTGGCAATCAACAGATTTAGGCACTCTAGTTTAAGGCAGCATTTGAATGGAAGCAGCTGACTTCTGACAACAGTCCTTTGTCTTGAGGTGGTGAGTATCTTCTGTGTTTACTATGCCAGGATTTCGGTGCTGACTATAGATTCTTCCCAGACTGAGGTGCGGAAGATGTATCACGCTTCAAAGAGTTCTTTCAACTGGGCTGTAGGCTAGAGCATAGATGTTTTCTTTTTCTTATCATAAATACTTCAGGTTCACAAACTAGTTCTTCATAATGCCAAAACTGGAATGTTTGCAGTGGGGAAGTTATAGCAGCATACACAAACAACAGGATGAGAACATTAGTGCTGGAGATGTTTGACAACGTGATTTGCGCTACAAATGTAAAACAAAACTAAGACTTTGACAAGAACAAGGGATTATAAACACATGCCTGAAAAACCTAACTTGCTCACTCTACACATGCAACAGGATGTTAAGCAAACACAGAAGTGGCGCAGGCAGACACTGACAAATGGCCATGGTTCTAACAGACAATGAATCTAAAAGTCAATTAAAACAGAGCTGGGATAGAGATGGTGCTGGTGGGACCGCCAAATGTAAGACAAATTTGACAGCTCTGCATTCTTTCTGATTTGGACGTCATTAAAATAAATGGAAAAAAGGTTAGCCATTGTTAGCTTTTTTTCCTTCATGTGGATAATTGTGAAAGAGGAATTTAAGGACTTAATGACTTTTTAAAACAATGTATGGAAATGCTAATGAAGTTAGTAAAAAATAATGATGTCTGCATGCACTCATGCATCTTGCTTCTCTCATTCTCTCTCTCTGAGCCTGACAACTCTAACACCCTCCCCCCCAAAAGCAGCTGCATGTAACCTCCTTCAACATCTTGCCCATTTCCTCAGAAACCCTCTTCAGGAACCTGCAGTCCAGGAGGAAAAAGAAAAGAACAATTACTGAAGACCTTTGGTAAGACCAAAAGGGGTGTTCAGTTTAAAGCGTCCGTCCTAAATGTCCCTAAAATTATTTTATAGTCAGCTACTGAAAACACCAGAAAAATTTGTAACACAAGCAAAATTAAAGACAAGGCTTGTAGCTGCTTCTTCACTTCATTCCCAGCACAACTAGCACTGCACAATCCTTGATTGTACAGTGCTACCAACAAATGCTTGTTGAAATGAATTGGGGGGAAAAATCTATTGTAATAACTGGTGACCCAGCTAAAATGAGGAAATGCTCTAAACTGTAGTACAGATAACCTCCTCAACCCACTTAATCAAAAGTTTTTCTTTTCAACATAAAACGTGTCAGTACTTCTCCCTCAGTCAAGATTTTCTATCTTAGCTTATTTTAAATCTATTTTCCTATTATAACTGCTAAATAATCACTAAAGTGATATTTCCCAAAGGACATTTTCAAGATAAAAAATACAAGCATTCGATTAAATTGAAAGGGAGCTTGTATGTTCCTGAAAATTACTAGTAAGCCTGAAAATATTATTAGGCCTCAAAAGAAAGCCATTCTATTCACCTAAGAGCTAGACCAGATTGATTTATTTTGGAAGTCTCTTGATTTGCCTACTACAATAGATTTTGTGCTAGGTACATATTTTCTTCTTTTAGAAAACCAAAATTAATAGGGAGGAAAATGAAAATGGTTATATTCTTACTTTATCCAATTAGCCAACTATTATTACTTGTCTTCTTGGAGACTGTAGCTAAATTCAAATGCCTATATAAAACCACTCTTTGGGAATCAGCTTTTTATAGCGTTTCATAGCAGTTTTAATTATTTGAATTTACTACAGTCACTGAGTTTTCTGAAGTGTGTGTATGTACATGTTTGGGAGGGGGTACCTTTTATCTATGGATTCCTGCCCAATAGGTCAAATTTCATTCTTTATAAGGCAGAAAAACACAAATCCTTCACACAGACTTAAGCAAGACATAAAGCAAAAGGCACCAATTAAGCTCCACACCAACATCACTCACGTTAAAGCATCAACGAGAACAGTTTCTTGTGGTCATATTCACATCTTTAAGATCGAGCATTCAGCTCACATAGTGAACAATAAACCATGGATGCCCTTTAAATTTTCTGATGTTATCCCACCCGTTGAGTGTGTTTTTGTTTTAAGTTATCATTCCTATGTCACAAAGCTGCCTGGTTAGTTTAGATGTAAGTTACTGCACCTTTACTGTTTTTCTCTAGAGTTACATCTATGTATGATGTGGGAACGTAGCCTTCTTCACCATTCTGTCTCCGAGCTCTTGTCCATCCATCACCTTTGTCCTCCTCAATAATGTATAGAACTTCACCTTCTTTCATTGCCAGAGTACCTTCATTATGTCCTAGATGAGAGTTTTCATAGTACAAGCATAACTTAAACACAGCAATAATTTCATATAAAAGTTACAAGTAACAACACACAAAATAACATGAAACTCTACTAAATTTCAATGTGCGTAGGTCCACTGACTCTCATTAGCAACATCTCTACTTTGTAGCAATACTTTGTAGTTTACCCAACACTTTCATATACATTGTCTCATGTGAACTCCCAGGCTGGCATTAATATCACCCCCATGTAACAGGTGAAGTATAAGCCACAATGACATATGACTTGCAAGGGTACTCTAACTGATTTCACTACTTCAACTTCTTTCCCAAACTTGAGTGGTATTGCTATCTAGAAAATTCATGAGATGTGGATCAGGAAAATAGTAATAGTAGTAGTAGTAGTAGTAGTAGTAATAATAATAATAATAATGGTAATAGTAATCTGAGCTCCAAGATTAAGCTCTCCCTGAAGTCAGCTAATACAACCCTTCTTTAGTTTAAGACAGTGAGAGGGTGGAAAGAATGTAGCTTAAAGAGAGAGCAGAGAGAAAACTACACTTTGGTGATGGTAGAAGAAGAATGGTTATAGCCACAGAGCACAAACTTTCTTTAAAACCTCATCAGCCTCAGGGCTCTTTCCTCTCAACCCCCAACCCTTCCAACCTGCTTAGCAGTAACTATTTGCACAAATGAATCTTCATATAACATATGCTAAATTCCAACTCTAGTCTCTGGATTACATTATAGCAATATCTTATTTAATACTAGAGGTGCAGTGCACAAAATTCGTGCACAGGTAGGGTCCCTAGCGGCTGCCAGTGGCTGGCTGGAGTCTCCCTTCCTGGGCTGCTGGCTGGGGCCTTCCTTCGTTCTGCGCCACCCCCTGGTGGTCAGCACATGTCATAGCAAGTGATCGAACTCCTGGTCAGTCGAACTCCCGAGGGGACACTTTGCATATTAGACTTTTATATATATATAGATTTTCTTAGAATGAGGAGTAACTAAAGACTTTACACAATTTTAAAACCAATAAAATTGGTGGGGAAGGACCTTAATTCACATACCATTTTACAAAACAACTTATTTATAAAGGTGTTACTGGACTGCTCTGTGATTTGAGGAACAGGATTTTTCAGAATCCTTTTCCCACAAGAGAGGGAAGGGTGAATAAAAGTCTGCAGGAGAGGACCACAATGACTTCCTCCCTTCACACAGTTTGTCATCCAACTCTTGCAGAGGAAAAGATGGCAAAGTCTGAAGCTACCATACTCTCTCCTTCCCTCACCTGAAAATGTGGCCTACAGAGTCAGGATATGGTGGCATTCAGATATGCCATTTGCCATGTGCTTGTCTCCCAATGCTGGCAAGTTACAAGGAAGAGCTTGAAGTGACATCCGCCCACCTCCCACTTCCTGGGTTAGAATACATGATTGAGCTGCTTCAACTTTAATGAGTACATTAAGCATTAGTCACATCTCTGGGGGAAATTCTGTATCAACCAAAGTTGATAATTAAGTAATAATCTGTATTAGTATACTGATAAATAGGTAATTTTCTTTTAATGTCATGTATGGAATGAACATCTCTGTATCTGTAATACAGTTAAACAAAAATATTCATACTAATGAACTAGGATTATAATTATCTGACAATGTACTATTTAGCTGAGGACATTAAAGTAGATAACTCATATATGTAGACTTAAGAAACCAATTTTATCATATATAATGTATTAGAAAAATCATACCATCAAAAGGGTAAATAGCTTTGCAGTGTCCAATAGCAGGCAAAGGATCATCATCTTCAAAGTCATCATCAAACTCATTGTGGTGACCATGCTGTTGGGGTGGCCCACGGACTTCTTGGTTTGCATCATCAGTGTAACTTCCCTCAGGACTATAAAACATAAAATTATCTCTGATCAAGTATCACAAACATGGGAAGCTTTTATATTGTCTCAGGATCAATTCAGAGAATTAAGTATCTATGATATAGTTCCAAATTAAATCTTTATTTTCTTAAAACTGACTCTATCTATCTATCTATCTATCTATCTATCTATCTATCTCTTCTAAAACAAAATGAGTCTTTGTTGAATTTCCTGAAATTAAAAGACTACAATATTCTAGACACATAGCATGTATTCAGTGAATATCTCTCACTATCACCAGGTCTAGAGAAAAAGTAAAGATGTATTAGATACTTGTTTTTCATTATCCTGGATTTATCACATCTCTTTTGCAAGAGGACCCTAAAATTCCTTAGGACCCACCCAGACCCGTGTTCAGTTAAAAGGTTTCAGGTGGCTTGTTCTGTCCTAACTCCAGAGGGCTCATCTTAACTCAGCACTTGTATGGCCAGAGTGACGAGCTGACAAGTAGGACTATAACCCAGTCAGATATAAGAGATGCACAGAGACTTTGCTTGGGATTGTTGAAAGAGAAGCTCCCTTTTCCACTGGACTTGAACCTGGAGAAATATGAGCCTAGAGCTTTGAAAGATTACCATATGAAGCGTTAAAATGAAGCCAAGACAGTGGAAGGCAGAACTGTGAAGTGGAGAGAGCAGAGTCCTGAGGATGTATCATCTGAGCTCCAAGATTAAGCTCTCTCTGAAGTCAGCTAATAAAATCCCTCTTTAGTTTAAGCCAATACGGGCAGAGTATTTCATTCTGTCACTAAAAACCCAAAGACTCCTAATAAAGTTCATTTGCAACTAATCATGTTACCAGGAAAGTTAGTAACTTAGAAAATAAAAAAATAAAAAACTCAGTAATCTAAAGGCATTTTTTTTCTTCACAACCTTTTAAACCAGAGAGAAAAATGTTAATAATTTTGCTAAAGAATCAAATGACTAAGATTTTAATAATGGGGAAATCTATGTGATTAGATTTAACAGCACTTTCAGTATACCTGGAAAACATTTTTTTTTACTTTATCTTTATTGTTTACATTATTACAGATGTCCCTTTTTTACCCCATTGACCCCCCCTCCCCACTCTCGTCCCCTCCCTAGGCCTTCACCCACTACTACCTGTGTCCATGGGTTATACCTATATGCATGTAATTTCTTTGGTTGATCTCTTCCCTGCCCTCCACCCCCTTCACTCTGAGGATCCTCAGTTTATTGCATGCTTTCATGTCTCTGGATCTATTTTGTTTGTCAGTTTATTTTGTTCATTAGATTTCACATATAAGTGAGATCATGTGATATTTCTCTTTCACTATGTAGTGGATAAAAAAAGCTGTGGTAGGTTTACACAATGGAATAATGTACAGCTGTAAAAAAGGGGATCTCTTACCCTTTGAGACAGCATGGAGGGACCTAGAGAGTATTATGCTAAGTGAAATAAGTCAGTGGAAGACATGTTTTTAAATAACACAAGCCAAATAGATTAATTATTAAAATCTAGGTTTTATCTAATAACAAAACCCAATATATTTGGGGGTGTTGTTTGATATACTGAAGATATGTACTCTTTCAAAAAATGATAATGGAGAGGAGAAACTAATATTTGTCAAGAACATACTATAACCAGGTTTTTACTACTGGGTGCTTTATGTACATTACTTCATTTATTACTAATAACCTGAATAAGGGGTATTTTAATCTCTACTTTATATTTGAGGGCACTGAGACTCAGAGAGAATTAAAAATGAACTTAATCAAATTATAGTGTAATTAAGTAGTAAACTAAGATCTCTCAAATTCTTCTCTAAGGTGAGTTCTAATTTGTTGGACTTTATTTTTTTTAATATTTTTTTATTGATTTCAGAGAGGAAGGGAGAGGGAAAGAAAGATAGAAACATCAATGATGAGAGAGAATCATTGTTTGGCTGCCCCCTGCATACCCCCTACTGGGGCTCAAGCCTGAAACCCAGGCATGTGCCTGGAATGGGAATCGAAAAGTGACTTCCTGTTTCATAGATCAATGCTCAACCACTGAGCCACGCCGGCTGGGCTAATTTGTTGGACTTTATTATAAAAAAGAAAAAGACATATTACAATAAGGGAAATGCCACAATGATATGAAAACATGGAAACTTAGCAAAGTGCCTTTTGGAAGCTCTGGTCTAAACTAACAATACACATTTTTCACAAAACTGTGAGCAAGTTGACAGTTAAATTTTTCTTTGGCATTAGCTACCCAACTCCATCTATTAGGGCATCTCCCCAGGCCTGAGGAGCCTATGCCTCCAGATTATAGCTCCAAGAACTTTCTATGTTCCCATCTCTGTTTGGGATGCATGACAAACAAACTGAGCAGCAATATGAAATTTCATACTTCACCTATAGCTATTATAAAGAAACAGAAAATTTAGGTTCGAAAGACTGATGTTATTAAAGCCAAATTTGTTAAATGAGGGAGGAAGAAAAAAATTATATGAAGTTTAGAAAAAAAAGTGAGAAAAGTTTGGGAGAAAAGAAGAAATACAAATAAAATACAAAAAAATGACCTTTCTCGTCCCTGTGTTACAAGATGATTTATGTCACTGCTATGTCTTCTGTCTCCTCTCCCACCTGTTTTGCCTTCAACTTCAGAGAGCCATGCCTTAGGAAAAAAATAAGTAAAACTGAGCTTAATAAATACTTTTAAGAGCTCATAAGATATTCTACATTTAAAATGTGCTTTGAGTTGTTATGATTATGTAATTCTCAGCGAAGGGAAACCTTTATTCCAGTTTGGTCAATGATCAACTTTATGGCTAATAAAAAATAGTTTAAGTGTTTATTTTTATATATCATTTTTAATTTAAAAACTTCAACAAGGGACTAAACATTATGTACCATATGATACCTTACTTTTAGTTCATGAGCACTGAAATTAAATAAATATTTGAAGATAATTCTAGCAAAAACTAACCTATCATGATGAAATTTATACAAACGAATTTATCTCAGACAACTGCTAAATAACAAATCTCTACCTCATTCTTGTGGATTTCCGGTCGCAGGCGGTCAATATTATTCATGGTCTC